TTTTTTGGGGCGTTGCGGGTAAGAAGAAACGTCTCTCTCTTGCGATTCCATTTTCTATGTGTGTAAAGATTTATATAGGTGATTATTCCTTCATATTTTTATCCATTAATGCCAGCGACTCGTATAATAACGTCATATTTTGTAGATGAAGAAGAAAAAAAAATTAAATTATGTAATTCTAGATTTATTGAAAAAATAAAATATAATTAAATTTTAGGTTGAAACGGATAGTTTTCTTTAGAAGATTTCAAAGAGTCAAAATCAGCTGAATCAAGAATTTATCAGAGTGCGAGTAATAAATGCAAAAGAGAAAATTTTTCTTTACATAAAAAAAAAAGAAGAAATTAAAAATTAGATTTTTTATTTTTAACAATGGAATTTTTGAAATGTTAAAATAAAATGACGTCAACTACTTTTAAATATTTGTAAATATCGAGAATGATACGAGTGCGTGGAATGGATAGGAAACTTTGAATTATCCAGTTATATATTATATTTAATAGGATCAATCTAGAAGCACGTGACCATTCCTAAATCTTTGAATATATCTCTGCCTGGTGGTCTAAAATGGCTCTTTTTTTAAAAAAAAAAAATAATTTTGATATAAAGTGAGGTCAGATTGAAGTGAGTGACAGCAGTCAGATTTTTAAGATTTTATTTTTTGACCCAACTTTCGCTAACTCATTCTTAAAAATTCTGCAAAGTTTTCAACTTTATTTTAGAAATAATTTTTTTTTTTTTTTTAAACCAAACGATTTTTTCGATTACCAAATGATAAAAAAAATATGAGTTTGTTTTTTTATACCAAAGTTGATTTAAATTTAATTGAAATTTTACGACGCGAACGACATTATGGTACCAAACGATTGTTTTAGGAATTCCAGAAATAGAAATTGGTTCTCTTTCAGGAGTCAATCGGCTCATCGGAAAAATTGATATACAACGGTATTGGCAGACAAAAGGTATTGTGATGGGAGACCAGAAGTGCTCGGACATCTGACATATTTAAAACTTGTTGACACATTTGTATTGAGTTAAGAAACAAGCCAGGCATTCCATAAGTCGATTTTTCAAATATCCGTTAGAGATTTTGCATATCGCTAACTTCAGTATACATCAAATTATTTATAAGGACTTGCGGCTAAGACGTTTAAGAAAAAAAAATGCCCAATAATTCATGTTAATAAATGTTCGCTTAAATTCATTCCAGGTTCGATTCATTTTCATTTTAGTTTACAGATGAAAAGCTAATTGTAATATCTATTTTATTTGATTTGATAAATTCACTATTTCTAAGTATATATCCATAGGTTAATATCATCAAAAAAAATGTGGGTGGTGTAGATTTTGTTGAAGTACCTTATTGGAAACTGATATAAGAGCTCTGACCTATCAGAATAGAGAGAAAAAGTCTCTCGCCATATGAGGATTGTATGGTCGCGGCACATCCTATATTTTATGTTACTTTACATCATGCCACTTTTAGAGGGCCTCATGTCAATTATTATCGCAACCCATAATATTTAATCAAATAAGTTCTACCCCCTAAATGCTAAAAAAAACTCCTCGCTTTATAAAATATTTTAAAAAAAATAGAAAATAAAATTTTAAATCATAAAAAGAAAAAATTGGTCATTTTAATTTATGATTAACTTAATGACATATAATAATACCTAAACTTACGATGGATGCTTAAATCGAATGCATCGTTGAATGCAAATCAGCTGGACTCGCCATTTTGGAAACCCATATGATAATTATTCTCGTGTTAAAAACTACTAATAAATTGATAACTTGCTTCCTTATCTCGATGATCGGGCAATTCTTTAGTAAAGTTTGAGTCAAATATATGAATAAATTGGCCCTCTCGTTTAAAATTTTTTTTCAATCATTATATGGGTAATCAAAGTGGCATCCACAGCTGTTTTCAATGATGTACCACTTTTATATTTATTACCTGTCATTGGATTATCCATTCTTTATTCGTTAGGCATAAAGATGACTTTTAGGGATGTTATAATTTTCGACACATTCTAATAAATTATTATAAAGTTTTTAAAAAAAAAAAATACTTTTGAAAACGATACATGAATTGCGGTGGAATATTAGGAATTAAATTTTTCCAAAGAGATTCTTGGTCCTAAACCTTCACGAGAATCACCGGTTAAATAATTTAAATTTTTTTTTTTTTGATTTTATAATTAAAAAATCTTTTGATAATGCGATTATATAGAAGAACGCCTCAAAACAAATAACTTAATTTACCTCTGTGGGCTATCCATTTTTCAAGAGCCACTTCTGTGATATAAGGCCCGGCCCAAATTTTTTAAACATATCCGGGCCAGGGCCTAAAAAATTTATTTTAAATATATCCGGGCCGGGCCTAAGATTGTTAAACCCGGGCCGGGCCTTAATATTTTTTATAAAAACTTTTACATTATGAGTTAATGGTTATAAGATTATATTATATTATAGTTATGATTAATATAATATTGGGTGATGGTTAACACTACCTAACAACCCACAGATCGATCTAATTATTAATTTCCTGCAAATTTATTCAAAGTATTAATATATTTTTTTATAATTCATATCTAAATTTTTACAACATATTTTACCAAAACAATCAAATAAAAGGAATATCTTAAATAAGCCCCAATATTCAAGTATTATTAATATATTTTTTTATAATTCATATCTAAATTTTTAGAATATATTTTACCAAAACAATCAAATAAAGGAATATCACTTCTTGAAGTTTGTAATACCTTTCAAAGCGAAAAAGGAGAAATAAAATTGATTTTACTTAATGTAAAGCATTTTTTAATTGAAAAATTTGTTTTACACAAGTATCATTTTATTTCTCATTTTCTCTGTCCCAAATTCAAGCAATTACGTATGTAGTCAGGGACAGGTCGTAAGATGACGGAAAACTATATAAAAGATTATATTAAATTACAAGAGGCCCAGGAAGTAAATGAAATACCATCGACCAGTCAAATTACGACTGTTGTTAAACAAACTGAATCGTTTTATGACAAATGGGGCGATGGTAATTCTGGTAATATGTCAATACCCGATGATGAATATTATAATTACATAAATAATAGATAAAACATTTAAGGTGGATAATTTGTTAGAGTGATGGGCTGCTCATCAAAGCGAATTTCCAATTTTAGCAAAATTGGCAATTCCTGCTTTAAGTGCAAGCTGTGAGCTGAATTTTTCCACTACTGGGAGAATTCTTGAAGAAAGAAGAAGTAATCTTCAACCTGAAAAGGTAGATATGCTTCTCTTTCTTCATGATAATTTGTGAATTTTTAATATCTTTCTTGAGTTAGGGTTTCGTCAATCATGCTGGTTTTTTACTTTGCAAACTGTCAAATATTTATTGCATTTATTATATTTACCTTGAGTCATGAAAGTTTTTAATCCAACATTTTTCATAATTTTTTTTTACAATATTATATAATAAAATTATCTTCTTTTGTTAAAAATTTATATTATAAAATAAATTATATTAATATTGTGCAATTAGATTATATTTTCAAAATACTATTTATTATACATGCATTTTTTTAAATAGCGATTTATTTTTATTTTATAAATTAAATAGTAAATTAAATACAATATATTATATTCTCAAAATATTTTCCATTTTTATAAATTAAATATTAGTTTTATTTTTTTTTAAATGCAATATAAAATATAGTATATGCTCAAAATATTATTACCATTTTTATGAATATTAGTTTTGTTTTTATAAATGCAATATAAAATATAGTATATGCTCAAAATATCCATTTTTATAAATAACAGTTTTATAATTTTTATAAATTCAAATAAAATATTCTCAAAATATTAGCTTTTTACATGTATTTTTTAAAATAATAAGCGATAATACTCGCTGAAAAATATGGTAAAATACCTCATAGGTGAATTTTTGTATATACCAGGTCGAATATAATTTTAACAAATTCCGAGCCAGGCCTGAAATTTAAAACCGAGCCGGGCCGGGCCTGGCCATGCAAATGGTACCTATGCAGGTCTCTGATATTTATATATTTTTTGCGTAAATCATGTCAAGACTTTGCTGACTTCAATTTATGTTGGATTATTTTAATGAATGAATCCTCGATCTCGGTTAATGTCAATGTCATTGATTGACCTCAACTATTCGAAAAAAATAACGCCAATTTCGATTGAAGTTAGTTCCGTGGACTACTTGAATCTCGCGACTCGAGATGCGAATATAAGGTAAGATTAAGCATTATTATTTTATTTTATATTATATATTTTTTTAAAAAAAAATAGAATTTTCATCCAAATTTTAACAGCTGATGATCAAAGCAAGGTTAATTCGTGTTGTATCTTTTCATAAAAAAATAATAATGATAGACTAGTGCCAGACACGCCGTACGAGATATATTCTGACGGGTCATGCCTGACAACTTGCTCAAAATATATTTTAGGGACAGGAAAAACATGATCATGTGCTATGTCAAAAAGAAAACAAAAAAATGATTCCGCGCTCTGTCTCTAATCATAGAACCTAGAAAAAAAAAATTCTAAATTTTATTTTGACTATTTATAATTTTTAATTTATATATTTTTTAAAAAAAAAAGAAAAAAATCAATTTAAAAAGAAAAAAATCATTTTAAAAAAAATATATTATTTGTCGAAAATGCCTAGTGGATGTTTAAAAAAAAATGCGGGAATCAATTTAAATTTTTTTTTTGTGTGATATTTATTTTTTTATTTACAAAATCATTTTGATTGTTTTTAAAATTTTATTTTATTTTTTATTTTTTAAATCATTCGATTTTAAACCTTTAAAAAGGTGTGGTTTTTATTTTAAAAGCTACTTTACAATAAAATAAAGATACTCTTTTGGCCGATTAAAGTATCGTTTACGTGCCCCCTCAATCACTTACATATTCAAATATAAACGAGAGGATTTTATTTAATCGAGTCGCAAGAGAATATGATAATTCGCTAAAAAAAATATATAATCAAAGATTGGTTTTATGTTTTGAATTGAAACGATAGTTCTTCTCTAGGAACAAATCATATTTCCGATAAAACAATCAGTTCTCGCGCGAAACAAAACCGGAAATTAGTCGAGGTAAATTATTTAAGATGTGATATTTATATTATGATTAAAAAAAACAAAGAATTAAGATGGAAGAATCGAAAGAACCGCTCGCGTTGAGGGAGAAGAGCGTGGTTTTGTCCTTGAACACAGCTGCTATGAGCCAAGACAGGGACAGTGGGTATTCAGATACTTCGTCGACGACTCCCGTAGATCATCTCTCGGACGCTACTAAGTTTGAATGCGCCCGCGATTCCAATAACCACAATATAGGTTTAGTTTTATCGAATTAACTGACTCTTTGTACGAGATTAGGTTTATACGTGTACCTGATTGGTTAGAAAATTTAATTTTCCTATGTTAGAAATATATATATTTGAAAATTTATAAATCCGTCGCAAAAAAAAAAGATGATTCGTCGATCAAAACGGTGAACGAAGTTGTCCTGGCAAACAAAACTCCCGTCAAATTTGAAATAAGAAACGCTTACCAACCGGAAATCCTCTCCCTGTGTCATTGGAGGCACGACGAATTCGGTTACAGGGCTCATTGGGACTACCTAATGGATCTTTACAATTGCTACCCATCGGGGTGGATAGTGGCTATCGACGAAAAGGGGTCTATTATAGGTTCAGTAGATTTTCAATATAATATAATACAAAATTTATAGTATAAGATATCAGCATTTTTTTTTTAAATATGAAAACAATGTTGCATTCTATGGATCGTTAAGTTGAAGATCCTATCGAAATGTTTTTATAATATGCTATAATTGTGAAGGTTCGATTTTCGGAATGAATATAAGCGATAAACTTGCTTTTGGAGGAGTGTTCGCCGTTAAAAAGCCTTACAGATGTCAAGGAATAGGTGGCCAACTGTGGAAGGTTAGGCTCAATCATATCGGCGCTAGAAATTTCTGTGTCAACGCGGTGGCTTCCAGGGTAGAACCCAACCAAAGACTCGGTATGAAAGTGGGTTTTAGATGTAAGTCAATGGTAAAATACATTTAACTATTGTCAGAAAATTAAAGATCATACATAATAATTAATTTGTTTTATCATTAAAATAATTAATAAAGTGGCCAGGTACTATGGCTTGGTTAATTCCAGGATCATTGAGGTTGCAACATCCATATTATCTATCCCATACCTTAATCAAGTTAAGTCTTGCAACCAAAATCCGTTACGATTATTAAAATTAGAAAAAGAAAATAATATCTCAATCATAAATCATCTTCCTCGAGCTTCTACTCTGAGTCACGAAGAAGAAAGAAAAGCAGACACAAGTTTCTTTCCCTCAGTAGTAACTCCTTTAACTATTCCTGATGCTCCTCCCTTATATCCTCCAAAGTTGCAAGAAGAGGATGCAGAAACCATAAAAGATCCGGACTATTTTGATCTCCTGAAACTAATGATAGATTACGACACCGTCATACATACATCCTCCCGCGAGGGATTTATTAGAGAAGCGGTATCCCATTATGAACACACTACAACCATCATAGCTCTTACTACTAATCCGCTAGACGGTTCACATCAGATAGTTGGCTACGGTATGTTGAGACCGCGTTATGTAGGATATACGATAGGACCCCTGTACGCCGACTCGAGCGATATAGCCAGATGCATATTCGTGGCACTGCTAAATAAGATTTCGACTCAAGAACCTGTCTTAATAGATACAACCATAATCGAAGAAGATACGGAAGCTAAGAATGATTCTGGTAATGGCTTATCCTTGCCTAACGAATTTAGGAAGAGAATAGTCAAAAATGTGCTTAATAACTTGGGGCTCAGAAGAGAATGCTTCCTCTATCGAATGTACACTAAGGAAAACGTCGATCTGCCATTACACAAAACTTACGCCGTTACCAGTTCCGAAGCCTTTTTGTTATAAAATATCGCGATACGCCTTCAACCATTTTTTTTAAAAATTATTTAAATTTATTTTCGTTACTTTATTTGTTACCATCATATGTTATAATATTACTATCAATTTGTATCTTTTTTTTAAAAAAATATCTTTTTTTATTCCAAATTTTTTTTAGATCAATATTATTTGAAATTATTGTTTTACATATAAATTTTACACTTATATGAATAATTTTTAAAAAGTAAAATATTTTTATAACATTTTTTTAAATCAAAATTTTTAATAAAATGCCAATATATTGAATATTAAATAAAGAAGATTTCCTCACAAAAAAAAAATATTCAGTTAATAAAAATTATTTGGGCAGTTTTTTTAAATAAGAAATGACCAGTATTATTATTTAATTTAAATGTGTATAGTGTTAAGAATCATTTTGTATGTAAATTTATTAAGAAGTTATTAATCAATTCCCGATAATTGAAAATTTAAATGAGCAATAATAAACAGGATGAATTTCAAGTTCTAATGTTTTTTACTTAAGCAATTATGTTTAATTTTTCCGAGAACATGACAAATTTGTTAAAAATACACTCAAAATAAAGATTAAAATCTATGTAATAAAATAGGGAAATTAAAAATTTTAAATCAATTTCCAATTTCTTACATATCAAAATAGAAGAGAAGAGAAGAGAAGAGAAGAGAGAAGAGAAGAGAAGAGAAGAGAAGAGAAGAGAAGAGAAGAGAAGAGAAGAGAAGAGAAGAAGAAGAGAAGAGAAGAGAAGAGAAGAGAAGAAGAAGAAGAAGAAGAAGAGAAGAAGAGAAGAGAAGAAGAAGAGACATTTTTGAAATTTTACATCATTATTATGTTGTAAAATATTTTTAGAAATGCTCCCATAAAAATTTTGTTGAATTTTTAAATTTAATGAATTCTTTAGTTTTAGGATAAGATCATGATATATTGCTAATACATCTTCAGATTGCAATTTTATCATTAATAATAATTTTTTGTAATTGTTCAAATTCTGGATATATTATCTATAATATCATAACGTTTTTCTACATATTCTATAATATTTTTTATAAATATCTTATATACATATTTGAAATTTTACATCATTATTATATTGTAAAATATTTTTAGAAATGCTCCCATAAAAATTTTGTTTTAATGAATTCTTTAGTTTTAGGATAAGATTATGATATATTGCTAATTCATCTTCAGATTGCAATTTTAAATTTATGTTATTGACTAAAGTGTCAACGTTAAGGACAACACCTAAATATGCCTCTGCAAAATCATCTCCAAAAATTATTTCAAAATTGGTGGGGTTGCTGATAATGATAAAAAATATTCTTTAAGGGGTTGAAAACATTTAAGCATCCGCTTAATCGCTGGAATTAATGTAAACCAGCGTGTTGGAACTTGGCGAAGTAATTCTGACCATTCTAAATTGCATCATTCTACCAATTCTTTTAAAATTGTAACTCTTTTTGTCGAGTTGCTAAATAAAATTATGGCCTTTTTAAACGAATTGTGAAGAATGTGGCATATACAACCCATTGGTATAATATTATTACTATGGCTTTTCAATTCTGTCTAAATACTTTAATTTTTCCCAAAGTTTACAGATGCGTTATCTGCACAATAGGCCGTTACATTAGCAATATCAAGTTCAGCGAATTTTAAATTTTCTAGCAAGCATCTAGATATGTCTTTAGGGGTTTCACTGTCAGACGAAAAAAATTTAAGTAATTAAACATTTGTTCCATTCTTTTTGTTGAAGTATCTAAGTAATAAGGGAAATGTGTTTATATTACCTTTATTCTATGCATCCGTTAGTATTGAAAACGGATGATGTTTTTTTAGATCTTTTATAATATTTGCCCTTAATTTATTTCATTTAAAATTTTACGAGTTATTATAATTATACTTGATAAAATTTCTGAAAATTGAATTTCTGTTGTGGGTAATTGATCAATGAATATGATTGGTTAGTTGGACTATTAACAAATACTACAATTTTTTTAAATATTTATAATAAAATTAATTTAAAATTTTATATTTGTTTTTAAAAAAATTTTAAAAAATTTTAAAATATTTTGAAAAAATTTAAAATCGTAAGAAAAGTGTGAGACTAAGTGTGATTATTTTAATTTACTCAAAAAACGTGAGAAAAGCGTTAAGTGTGAAAAAACGTGGGTAAGTAAAAATTAGGTTGAAATCGTGAGAATTACGGCTAAATCGTGACATCTGGCACCCTGAGAGGAAGAGGAAGGGAAAAATATTATTTTTTAATACCCAGTTCCCTAGGTAAATGGAATCAGCTACGAATTTCCTTGCCCAATTTGTGAATTAATGCTATTTAATGCGAATCGGTTTATAAATTTTAATAATGAATCTTGGACACGTAATATTTTTCGATATGATTCCTAAATTCGGCTTGGAAATTTGTATTGATCTAGGAAGGGGTATTAGTAGAGAAACTAGAAAAAAAAAAGTAGAAACGTAAAAACAAGTATATTTTTTTTTTATTCCTCGAAGCTCAAGTCGTTCTTTTAATTTTAAAATGTTCCATCTACCGGTTCCTTAAGAAACGAAAAATCATAGGAGGGTTACTGAATGGATTGAGAGCAAATCGTATATGTTAAAATTTTTATTAAGTTTGTAAAATTTGAAAAATTTAAGGAAGAATTTGTTGAAAACTTTCACCATTTTTTTTTTGCGTTTATTTTTACGCTGCTCTCGTATATTGCAAGCTGATCACAAAAATTTGTTTTTAGCGTGCTCAAAAAATAAAAATCTACAGAGACTCAAAGATTTTATTTTGAAGAACATTTCCGTAAATTCTGTTGTGTCACGTGTTTTTACGATAATAATATCGGTCAGACAGGGGTCATACTCGAAGTCCAAGCTCTAGTATTTTATTCTGTTCCCCTAAGGGATCAAGAATATTTTATAAATTTTTGTATTTTGAGCCAGTTTGCGAAACCCTGGGTTTTCAGAGTTTATTTATTATAAACTGACTGGAATATATTTAATTTACACAAAAAATTTTATCTGACCTCTCCGTGCATAGGCTAGCGAATTTCCAATCGACGCTATTCATATTTCAGGCTATTTGGGACTAAAGTTCAAGGTGTTGAGAAATATTGGGCACTTTTTAAAAGTTTTAACATCAGGAATTATTTTGGGCTTATTGATATTTATCAGAGACTTTCTATAGCCTGGCCCGGATTTTTTTTTGAAAATTTTTTCGGCCCGACCGGACCCGGGTTTTTTTTTTAAAAAAATTTCAGGCCGGACCGGTTTTTTTTTTAAATAAATTTTATTTATTATCTTTGATTTTTACAGCTAATAATGGCGATTTCAAATATTCGGTTTAAAAATATACGGCCTGGCTCGGATATATTTTTTAAAAAAAATTTCAGGCCCGGCACGGGTAAACTTAAAAAAATTAAAATACGGTCGGCCCAGGGGCCGGGTCAGCAGGTCTCTGATATTTATTTTATACTTTATTATGCAATTAGACTAATTCGATCGTTCAAACAAAAATGCAACCAATGGACTTAGTTGACACAACTATTTTTTATAAAAAAAATTATATTTTTATTTTTAAAAGTCTAATAAAAAAAAAGAAGTAATATAATATTCTTGTCCAAAAATAAGATGCAGGGTGAGATATCTAAGAACATCTAATGTAAGGTTCAGAGGAAGAAGGCATAAGCTCAGCATTTATTGTAAACAACACTCGTAAAAGTTTAAAAATATAATAATAAAAATGTGCATTTATTTCTTTCCGAGCTTATAATTGGGTGTAGTGTTGTTAAAAGGCTCGTTATGAGCCGATTTTTTAAAAACGGCTATCTTAATATTTCAGTCAGAAAAATATTGCCTAAAGAGGGTACGAACGCGCTCCTATGGATGCTGTTGAAGGCATTTCTGAAGTCTAAGTTGCAGAAAACCTTATCCGCCTTAGTATTTATAAATATACGTGCAACATGTGGGGCCACTTCACACCTACCGCTCACTCAAAATCCTAACAGTGAGGGAAATAGGAGGAAACTGGCCTTAGGCCGGATCCTATTTACAATAGCCTTGGCGACTAATCGACGAAAGAATGACCCTATGGCTATGGGTCTAATGTCACCACCCGACTTGGTTAAAGAAACAAGACGTGCGCCTAAAAGAATAGGACGAATACATGGCATAAGAGGATATTATTGCAAAGTTGAGTTAATGATTTCAGCAAGGGGTTAATAAAACCACTATCAGAGCACTGAATGAATTCAACAAAAAAACCGGGTCTGAAACCGTTCAACCCACCTGTCGTCCCTTTTTTAAAGGACTTCAAGCACTTAAGCACTTCATCACAGATAAAAGGAATAGGGAAAGAGGCATGCAGGTGGGAAGCCAATGGATGTTTCTCGAGAAGTTGTTGAAAGATAGTAACGTTGATAGGGGAAATCGTATCATCAGAAGTCAATATTCGGGCACCGCCATTAATATCTCCAAGATCTAATTTTATCAGATATCAATTTAAAGCGGAAAGAGTTAGGATTTAAAGAGTTAGATGAAATAAATTCATCAATAATAGTATTACCAAAATTGGACACCTTTTCCTTAATTGAGGCATATAAGTTATTTATTTTATTTTTGGTTTTAACTAGGACTCGCAAACAAAAACTAATCAGGTCTAACCATAAGGGTATTGTGGAGAAATCTTAATTCAAATTATTTATAAGTGACGTGAGGAACTTTGAGAAACTGGGGGCTTATGCGAATTAAGAAATAAATCAACAAGAGCTCGAGGAACAACAAACCGGACTGGGGTCATACGAGTGAGGAGCTCTAATAAAAGGATCTGAGCGGGAGGAGAGGGGGAAATTTTCCTGAATTGGGGCAAGCGGGTGAACCATGTTTCCTAAATACACCATTTAAATTCAGCGAAATTATTTTTAAGCATACTCGGCAAACAAGATTTTATCATGAGATGGCTTTGAAAGGAAGAACCCTAACAGATATAACTTTGAATGGAAGAAAAAAAAAACCCCCCAAAAGATATTAACAAGGGAAATTGGGGAAAAAAAATTAAAATTGAAAAAGAAATATACATGAGCTATCAGAAGTATTATTATGACAATCGAAATTAGGGGGGAGGGGGGGGGGGTTGGTAAATTTTAAGCCGAATCTCTAAAAAATATAAAATACTCACACCTAATGGGTGATAACCACTTTGTTCCCATAGCAGCTACATCAACCTGCTCTTTTGGACAAGCGGCTTTAGAACTATTCAAAATAATATCCAAATCTATAAAAAAAAATCATACCTTTCTCCATTTTACAAACTCAAGCAGAAAATTGCCGTATCCATAATTAGATCTAATTATCAAATATTTAAAACATCATGGCCCGACCTCGCCATTTGATATTTATTTTTTTTAAATATACATTTGTATCAATCTTTCTTTTTTTTTAACTTTAACTGATATATGACATATTTTATTATATTCTCTATATTATAACGTTAATTTTTAAATAATCATATTTTATCATATTTGTATATGAATTTCAAATTTAAAATAATTGAATTTTATAAAATAAAATTAGATACATAAAGTATAAGGGAGTATTATTGAGAACAAGAAAACAAGAGAAATAATAATTGGACGTAAACAAAGGAAAATTCTTCGGGAAGGGTGTTGTGGGGTGATTTGGCAAATTTGAATTATAAAAATAGAGCTTATATTTTAATTCATCTACAAATCTACTATATTTATTTTATTTTTTAACTCAAATGTAAATGCAAATTTTTTAAAACTTATATGCCCCGTATGTTTATTTATGATAATAAAAATTTAATAAAATTGTATCCGTTAGTTGGCGTTAAATGTAAGAAAAAAAAAACATATTTACGTTTTAAATATCAGATTTTAAAAAGAAACCATGGATTGGAAATAATTATTTTTTGGTATTTAGCTGACCAATGACATATATAATACCTAGACTGACGATTTATTCATTAAAAGTGTACATCAATGCAAACCAGCTGGAGACGCTATCTTTGTTACACTGATATTTTTTAAAATTATAAACGAGAGCCTAATTTATTTCTATATCTGAGCAAACTTTATCAAAGAATTACCGGATCATCGAGATAATAAGGAAGCAGGTTATCAATTTAATAGTAGTTTTTAAAATGAGAATAATTAACTATATGTTTTACCAAAATGGCGGCTCCAGCTGATTTGCTTTTAACGACGCTTAAAGATGCATTGAATCGTCAGTCTAGGTATTATTTATGTCATTGGTATATGCTATTTATTACGTGGAAAACCCTAAATAAAAAATATCGGGTTTTCTCTAGAAATATACAGTTAAAACATTTGAATTTTGACGACAAACATGCAAAATACCTTGCTGAGTGTATTGATGGTATTGCACCTACTTTTTCATAACATTATCCTAAAATGATCGCTTAGTCGTCTCATAACTGAACAAGGGTCCCTAAATTCGGAAGAGGCGCATCATGCTGGGGGTTTTTGAGAGAATCAATTAGGGCCTCTTTTTATATTTAGGTGTAGATACACGCGGAAAGCTTAAAAATATATCTAAAAAAAAGAAAAATGGATTACATCTAAATTTCCACTTAAGAACACCGATCTTCAAACTCACACTTTTGCTATTCTTACTGGCCTTTAAAAATTTTTGTTATTTTTATACTTAATGCCATGCATGTGAACGTTGTCGTTGTAAATAATGTTATTTAAAATATTAAATTTCGACCAATCCGTGGACCTCATAATCGAACCAGAAGCTGTAAACCTTCTAGCCAATTAAATTGCTAGAAAAATATTTCCTTTTTAATATTTATAGTTTATTAGACAATGTCTAAAAAAATTATATATTTAGTTTATAGATTTCTAAAACTTAACCGCTCAGTTATCATATGGCCAAATTAATTAGTTTCATAAACTTGTAAATCACTTCAATTGGTCGAATTGATGGAATTTTTTTTTAATACTTAAGGTTAAGGCCATTTGTAAAACATTATCTTAAAAAAATATTTTTAAAATTCGATAATACGGTTTATGACCGAACAAAAACCACAGCACAGTTACTCCGTATATGCCGAAATACGATTCAAAGAAACGCGGGTTATAACTGATTCCTATTTTAAATTTGCTAAAAAAACCAGATTTTTTTAAATCCCTGACAAATTATAGTTCAAAGATAAAAAATAAAAAAGGGTGAATTGTAAAGAAAGGGAACAAAATTATTCAATTTTTTTTAAAAAAATTCCACAACGAAAATGGTAATATTTCCGTTTTTTTTAGCTTAACTCAAATGTAAATTGTTTATCTAGATATATATATTAAAATATTGAATAGAATCGGTATGTAAGTTTTAAAGACAATTTACAAGTTGAGGGATGAGCTAAGTTGGTGTTACCTTGGGTAAAGAGCTATACAGTAAGACTCATGTTCCGTAATCGACAAATTTTTAGCCGACTCCAAAACGGCTTTGTCGAATTTTTAGTTGAAAAAATCGGTTTAGACTAATTTTAGCCTAAAAATCAGTTAAAATTAATTATTCAAAAATTAGGCATCGGCTAATCATCCGTCAGTTGTTACGTAATAAATATAAATATTTATGTATTAATAAATTTGAATAAGTAATTAAGGCTAGTCTTGGTGTTGCGTAACACTGACGGACCTTCAACCGAGCTCCTTGGCCGATGACTAATAGGTTTTAGTCGATTTTTAGGGCTAAACTTATTTAGACTTATGCGAAGTTCTAAGCCGATTATGCAACACTAAGTAAAACCGTGATATGGTTAATCTCCCTAGGAGACACTAAATTTAGTTAACGGTAGCCAAAATTAATTACTGATTTCCCGCTATATTAACTAGAGCGGATTATGAAAATTATTCTTTTGCTTATTTAGGTTTTTAAAATTAAATTCTATCAGAAAATTTTATAAAGCAATAAATTAAATTATCGGTTATTTTTAAATATTCGTTTACAAATCGTGACCCGAGAATTAGATTATTCCATCTCCACTTCTCGTAAATTTAAGTGACTTTAATTTAACTTATTTTATAGTTATTTCAGATTTTTTTTTATGTAAATAGAATAGTATAATTATAAAAAAATTGATTTATATTTTAAAAAAAAGAAGACATTTTTGAGGACCTCATTCTTAAGCGGCGAAATATTGTAATTTTTGGAATATTTTAAAAATAAAAATCATTGAATCTGCATACCCGGCTTAAAACCGGATCCATTAATGGAACTAATCGAATAGTATGAGTTTAAATCCGGAATGGGGGCTTAAAAATTTTTTAAATCCGGACCGAGTTTTTTTAAAAAAATATATAAGCAACTACTAGATCGGCGATTAACTCATTAAATGCATTTAAAATCCTTATTTAGGTGTCCGCTGCAGCGCCATTTTGTGGTTTGTAGATTAGATGACATTAAATGTGCGATCATATGATAAATAGACAATTAGTCTAAGTGAAAACCACAAAATGGCGCTATAGCTGACTCATATGTTTGGACACTTTTCTTTTTGCATATCGTCTGTGGCCTAGTCGATAAGTGCGTTGATCACTTATCCGATAGACCTGTGTTCGAATCCAGCATGGGTCATGTTTATTTTCTAAAGCCAATTTGGGTCTATATTGGGGGGGGGGGAGATGATATGTAATAGATTGGACTAGACCACGTGATTCCATTAATATATTAGAAAATAAGTGTCTTATTACATTCTTAATGAAATTTAGATTATATATTTTTAATGAAGCTACTGAAGATATATAACCATTTTCATGTATTATTTTTAACAAGCTATGGATCCTATACTATATAGATAGATTATACATACTCTTAACCTGGCCAAAGGCCAGGAAACTTATAAGGTGTATAGGAAACCAGCTCCCATTTGCATATATAAGATAGCAAAAAAAAAAAAACTAAGTAAGTATGCTAGATAAAATTTAGATAATGTATTTATTAAATAAATAGCTTATGTATATTCCATGTTCAGTTGAAGCAGAGTTCCAAATTTTTTAGAAACCTTTTCCAATATATTGAAAATAAAGATGTGATTTTTTTAAAAAAATTATGAAATAACATTTTGAAAGAATTTTAAATAGCTTTAAGTCTAAACATATAAATAAAAATGTTAAGTTTGCCTAATTTATAAGACTCAAAATTTGCTAAAACTGATAATTTATCAGGTTAATTTAATCAAAAAAATAAATAAAATTTCTTAACACATAAAATACATAATTGTATATTTTCAATTTTCTTTCAAGTGGGGCCAAGAGAGAATTTTTAGTTTAATGAATAAGTTGTTTAATTTGGCTCTCATTTAATTATAAGAAGCCAAAAGCAAAATTTTGGCATTTATATCATGAAGAGTACACAAGATTTATTTTCAAAGATAAGAAACTTTTTAAATAAAATATATTCTTCCAATATATATATAGAGATTTATATTTAATTTTTTTTTAATATTCAAATATTATAAATTTGCAATTTGGTAAATAAAAATATTCGCCAATGCTTATTTAAACTGTGGTTATGTTCTGCTTTCCGACTTTTTAAACTCATTTTACTCACTGTGAGAATATAACAGGCATAATCATGAGCTAAGGGGGTGATGTAACTTTGATTTTAGTATCTGTTTGTGCCTCTTTTTTTAAATCCCTTCCATTATCCATCTATAACAATATTTTAAGATGAAAATTTAATATTTTTTATTATCTTTTCCCTTCAAATTCTAATAAAATAAGTTTAATTTATTTTTGGATGGCATTCTTTCAATTTATTTGATCTCCATAACTTAAAATAAAGCACTAGAATATAATAAATGTAAAATTGCACAAATGATAACAAAATATTTGATACTTTAAAATTTATTATTTTTAGTATAATAATTTAGCATATATATATATTAAATTTTAAGATTATTGTGATAAATTAAAATATTTAAAGTTTTAATGCAACCAAAGCCGAAGTGATTGCTGTCAACAATATTACAGCATATCCACTTCTGTATACATTTGGGAGTTCAAATCCTTTGCCAAAGTCCCAAATCTTTAATAAATACTTATATTATAATCATAAATATCATTTATACTAAATGTCTTGTTCCATTTAAAATATGATACATAATGGGAAGAGCTAATATAAATTTGGCTGTTGTAAAAACATGTGGATGTATGCTCAAAGTATGTATTTGATCTATGTAATAAGGAAAATTATGTGGTAATACAAATAATCCCAAGGCAGCAAAATATAATGCTAGATTAATATTTATTAAATAATTATAACAGGTAATTTGGATTACAGCTATATATTGCAACACCAGTTATTCTATGTAATAGTGATAAAGTAGTTGTTAATTGAGGTTTATAAACAGTCCAGGGTGATGTGGGTCTATTTTTATCCCAATTCTTTTTATAAAATAACCATTGATCTTCATCCATTTGTGAAGTTAGTTTCACACTATATATAATATAATTAATATATTGATAATTTAAGGCTCTAACTTGTTTATATAAAAATTCATGTTTGAAGTTGTCCATAAGATGCGCTTAATGTTGCTATAATTAAAAAGATATTAAATTAAGTTAACTATTTTAATAACCTTCTCAATATTAAACGATTAAGCAGAGCCATATTAACGAGTATCGGATTTTTGCTAAAATCAGCCGATATGTTCTATGTCATCTCTCATATGATCTGTCAACTGATAGATTAGGAAAGATTTACAGTTTGATGTGATGGATTACAAATTATGACATAATGAAACTTCAATTATATTATTTTCTTTTTATATTAATATATTTTTAAACAGAAGATTTTACTGAGTGTGATTATCTCCTTTATAAAGGATTTGTTATTTATATATTTTTTGAAAAATATCTAAACATATCATTTATATCATCCAGAATGTTTTAAACACATTTTTTTATTAATTGTAAGATGGTGCTTGCGAGACCATCTACATTACCACCATTAAGAATTTTTATATTATATAAAAATTTAACTCAACTTCTTTTTAACCTTTTGATCTTAATAGATTTAACAAACACATTTATTATATTATGACATTTAATAAAACTTGATAAATATATTTATATAAATCAGGGGCGTCACTAGTCTTTACAATCTCAGGGGGGCTCAACTAAAAAAAAATTATGGGGGCTTCGCCCTGCATCCTTATTTGCGGGCCAGGCCGGCCTTTGGTCGGGTTTTATATTAATATATTAAACTATTTAAAAATTTGCTAACTCTGAATAATTCTGAATTTCATATTTTGTCGTTTATTATATTATGCATACAAAATAAACTTGCATATAAAAAAAATACAAGACATTTCTATTTAATACAAAATCTATTTATTACAGTATAAAATATTTTCGATTGCTGATATAAAAAAATTTTGACAAGTGATAAAAAAGGTTAATTAATTCATATATATGCTTCAATTGATAATGGTTTTTAAAAACTACATATTATAAAATTAGCAACTTACATTGACAAAAGGTCAAGAAACCAATATAACACTCTGTTACTGTTTTTCAGACAATGTTTTATAGAATGGACTAATAAGGAAAAATTTATAGACCAACCGTATCAACAATTCTTGGAAAAGAGAATATAAACGACCAATCCAAATCATAAAACTATATGGTGTTAGAGCTTTCTTAAATGACATGATGGAAGTAGATAAGTAAGAGAAAAAAATTGTGAGATATTAAATTTCTAAAAGTTTATCTTCCATTTTTAATAATATATAAACAACTACACAGTTGACCATTATTGCTTATAAAATATGCAATATATGCTCTCAGCAATAATCCTAAATTACATAGCCACACAAATAATATATGCTAGTTAATTTGCAGTCATAGTCATGACACTCACTATATTAACTTATATCAGAATTTATTAAGCTAGATAAATTGATAAAACAAAAACACTAAAAATGCTTAGAAGAAATTATGCAAATGTATTGAAGCCTTAAGTTATTTACAAGGCAGGGATGCCATATTAGAAATGAAACATAATTATAAAATAAGAACCAGTGATATAATATTATAAAAGAAATTAATTAAGATTTTATATATTATTGTTATACCACCTCTAGTTGGTGTATTATATCTTAAAATAGTAGTAGTTAGTAATAATATCAAAAATATACTAGTATTAAAAATTTAACTCAAAACTCTTTTTCAAATAAGAAAAAAAAATAGCTTTCCTAAAAACACGTAAAAAGAGAGAAAAGTATTCTAATTTATTACATCCATTCTGAGATAAATAATATGTTAAATTTTAAAAAATATTTTTAAATAAATGGATAGCGTTAAATAGCAATTTATTACTTATATCTATTATCAAAAGTTTAGTAAAATTTATTAAAATATTAACTGTAATATATTATATAACTGTCAAATACGTTTGTAAAGTGCTATTTAACCTAATATTTTATAACCAATTATATCTTAGAAAGGATTATAAACTATATGTTTATTTACTTTTTATAAATAAATCTCTTATACTTATTTGGATTTGGACCTTGAAAATAATTTTAAGAAGAGGCATGGTAACTAAATTTATATATCAATAATATAGTTGATTGACTCGGCTAATTACAATTAAATTTGTTAATTGTAAATTAATAATTATTTAATTAGAGTTATATAATAATTTAAATAATAAAAGTCAATAAAGCTTCAACTGTTAATGCTAAATTAATATTTAGTGAGTGATATTAATTTACTATTTTTAGCACAAAATTTTATTGCAAGCTGACATAGTGAAAATATAATTTATAAGTATTAATCTAATCTAATAAATATAGTATTCATTTAACAATAATTTAGATAGACTTATTAATTTTTAAATTACAAAATTAAATATATATGTTACTCAATAGAATTATAAAAGAAATTAATCAGTTGGCAATCAAAAAAATTTATTTTTAGTTCAAGGGGATATTAAGGAGCCATTAAAAAAAAATTTTGCTTCAGGGGGCTATTCTAAATTTACAGGGGGCTGGAGCCCCTGCGCCCCCCTAGCGACGCCACTAATATAAATAGAAGGATTTATATATAATAGAAAGTAGAATGATGTTCTATAATAAAATGACAAGATAGTTTGCATATTACCTAAATATATAGTGTGAAAATTTTTTTATTAAACAAGATCTTTTGCTACACGTAACAAAAATAGTAAAATTAGAAAATATTCAGTTGTATTAGCTAGGGGGGTGCCAAAACATATGGTGACCCAAGAATATATTTACTAGCCTTTTTAAACTAGAAAAGGGAATCAAAATTAGCGACCAAAAAAAGTTGAAACCCAACAATATTTCAAATAAGGAAAAACACAAAAAAAAATTGGGATTAAGGCCATTTCCAAACATAAAGTTGTTTTGTTTTTCAAAGCCGTTTTTTATATTTCCGGCTAATTATTTGTTTATTACCAAACAAAGTGTAATATTTGGTCAAATTAATTATGTATTGTGGTAAAATCCTAATTTCTTTATTAAATTCTATCTAAATTAATCAATTATAAATTAAGATAAAAGAAAAAAAAAGCAACAAAAATGAAAAGAAAAATTAAAAATAAGAAAAAGATTAAAAATTTAATAAAATATATAAGCGAAAAATAAAAAAAATTGAACAACTCCGATTGTTAAACTTCTTAAAGTATGAAAAACCAATTTAAAATATTATCACGCGTTTTCCTTTAAAGTAAAAATTTTACTAAAACATTATTTTTGTTTGAATATTGTTCACAATTTGAAATAATAGTTCCTTTTGTAACAGAATATTTACAACATGTGTCATAACATAAATTTGCCACTAGACAATTCATTAATAAAAGTCATGCCAGCTTGATTTTTTTTTAAAAAAAAAAATTAAGGATTAAATGACTTCTAAAATCCGGAAGTGACGTTTCTCGAAGAAAAAAAAATTAATTCAAATTATTATCTTTTGTTTTAGAAATAACTTATTTTTAAAAAAAATTATCTGTAGTTGAAAATTTGGTTAGAAAAGAGTATTGAAAAAAAACATTTATGTTTGGAAAATAAGTGGCCTAAATGTAAATATTTTTAAATATAAATTGAAATTTAGAGAAAAGAGAATGAATTATTAAAATTAAATTTTTGAGAAGAGAAGAGAAGAGAAGAGAAGAGAAGAGAAGAGAAGAGAGAGAAGAGAAGAGAAGAGAAGAGAAGAGAAGAAGAGAAGAGAAGAGAGAGAAGAAGAGAAGAAGAAAGAGAAGAGAAGAGAAAGAAGAAAGAAGAGAAGAGAAGAGAATTTCCAAAACAAATTAAATTTTTTAGAAACAAAGGTTTTTTGCTTTGGTTTCAAAACAGAATTATTTTTTTATTACAAAACAAAAGTTGTTTTTCAAAAAAAACGTTGTTTATTATTTTTCATTTTTTAAAATAAAATATGTTCTCACAATATTTTTTTAATCTAAGTTTATAAATTAATATGAAAATCAGGTATTTACGAAAACGTTTTCTGATTGAAAGGTTAAATTTTGAAGTCAATCATTACCGAGGTAATTTCTTGATACTCATTTCAATGTCATTTCTACCAAAATTTTAAAGACAACTTGAGTGCCTTCTTCCAAAGTATTCGGATTATGAACTATTTCCATTCCTTTTAATTGTAGAATTTTGGCCCATATTTCAATACTAATTCATGTAAAAAATTTAGACAAACCTTTTTCTTTTGTTTAATTTAATTAAGTGTTTCAGAATATCCTGTTTTTTATGCTGAAAAATTTTTTGGATGTTGGTGTTAAAATAAATAAAAGAGAGAGAAAGAAAAAAAGAAATAAAGAAAGAAAGAAAGAAAGAAAGAAAGAAAGAAAGAAAGAGGCAGTCGATTCTCTTGGAAATAAGCTTGATTTTTAACTAAGCAGAAGAAAGGTGTTTTCTTGTTGTTAAAATAGAGGTGGGGTCCTTTAGGTGATTGCTAGAAATATTGCTCTGTCCTTAATTTTTTTAAGTCATTTGAGTGGTAATCTTAAGGTTGTACTTATAGAAAATCTAGCCATTCCTTTTCCTTTGAAAGTTTTGCAGCTGATAATAATTTTGATCGAAGGGAAACCTAACTCACATCCATCATGACTCCTCAATATTGATATGATGTTTTGTCGTGTTGAAGAACATGTCTGAGAAGAATTTTATAAGATGAGTGTGATAAACTATGTTGTTGCTATATCATGAAATGTGTAAAAGTTCTGAAAGATGAGTAAATCCAGAATGTGAGCGCCAGTGGATAATAGGTCCATAAAGCAAAAAATACTCTATCGCTCGCAATTGTTTAAATTTCAGACAGTGTTAACAGATTTAGTTCAAATGAGGGGGGGGCAGGGGGGTGTTAATTAATCTAAAAAAATGAGAATTAAACTCCAATATAAATATATAAGTTTTATATATTAATCATCCAAATATAACAACACCAAAAACAATGTTAATAAGCATTCTAAAATAAATTATTTTAATATGAAAGTTTCATTTAATTTCTTTATAAAATTTTTAATTTTTAAATCGGTTAATTTTAAACTATTCCAATTGATCTATTTCAAATAAATTTTATATCAATTTATCAAATATATATATTAAATAGTTTAACGGCATATTTACAAAAACAAATCAATTTTTCACAAGGATTATATATATATATCGAATTATCGACATTTTCGTAAAAATAATAACAATGCCATTATTACCCATGAATCTTGATGAGAATCAGAGGATCAAACTGGGCCTAATCCTCTGCTACTTAAACATTTTTTTGACCTTAGTCGGATTGGCCTTGCTCAGCTTGTCCTTGTACCTCAAATACACGATAGAGGACAAATTCGTTCTCATCAGTCATTACGATAACGATAGCGTGGTATGGATGCTAATAGCGCTTTCCATTTTTTGGATTACTCTTCACGGGCTCGGTTCAAAAATGGTATACGATTGCCGATCATTCCACACCCGACAGAGATCTCAATACTTTTTGATGCTATGGCTTCTCGTGCTTTTCTTCCTGCCTTGGATCGGCTTTGGTTGCGCTACCTTGTTATTTAAGCACGAAAGTTATTTATTAGACATACTCACGAACGGACTTTATCAAGCTCTGAAAAAGTTATAGTAATATAATTAATTTTTATCTAAACATGTATACCTTATCCCTCATTTGTAGTAAGAAATCCTATTGCATTGCTTAACGCCTCATATATAGTAAACGCGAATTTGTTCAAACGGTGCGGTATTTAACGCTATCGAAATCATAGTTGATTCTTCACAAATAATTTTTGAACTGCCAATATATAGAGTTTAACTTGTACACGTATCGAATATATTTTATCATCGCATTGCAACTTTTTTTCAAATGTTATCGTAGCGCATTCATCATTTTGCTACATATTTTATAAATTATACCTATTTTTATTGACTTGGTTTTGTAAAATAACGTAGCGATAAATACCAAACCGCTTGGATAAATCGCGTTCAATAAGTGAGGCCTTAACTTCTCAAAGTTAATAAGAGTAAATTATAGGGGCAATTCCATACCTAATTTTAATTATGAATCATTTACGAAGATTTAAAAATAATTATTATCGCGAAAATTTTGACTATCTAAACATATGAGTTTGTAAGGGTCTATACATGTCGTATTGCGATATGGGTACCCATGAAAGTTCGGAATATCTTATTTTTAAATCGTTGAATCAAGACGATTTTTAAATTTAAAAAAATCTATGTAAATGTACAATAATATGTGTAGAGTAGTGTTCTTTAGCGGCTACTTTTTTTCAGTGGCGTTTAGCGCTTTACATTTTTTTTTAGAAGATAGCGATATTGATAGGAATAAATATACATAAAAGTTATTACGATATATTTACAATTTTGAAAATTAATTTTAAAATCATAATCTTTTTATTTTAATTTTGAAATTTAAATTTAAAAATAAGCATCATAAATCTAAGTTTTCATAATTAAAATTTAAAAATGTCCACAATATAGATTGATATTGAAGATTATTTTGGTATAGCTCATATCGAAGGAAGTAATTTCCTGGCAAATGATTATAATAGGGAATTTCTTTTCCCTAAATTCGCAAAATATTTTAATCACGATAAAAAAAATATAACATAGGATATAATTTCGTTGTATGATGTGCCAAAAGATTTTATCATCAAACAAGACTAGTGTCATCAACTCAGTGGCGTAGCTAAGAATTTTCCTTAGAGAGGGTCCATACATATAAAGGCCTGGGGGGCTTCGCCCTCTAGACCCTTTTTAACGGGCCTTCGGCACTTTTGCCCGGTCTTCGGCCTGGCTTATCTTACAAATCATAACCATATCTCCGATAATATATAATAAACATATTTTTTAAATGCATCAATAATATGTTATTATAATTTAGTAGATTTTTCTCAATAACTTTATAATAATACTATCCAGAATAATTTCAATTGTAATATAATATCCTTGCAATATAATATCCTTGCACAAACAACAAAACCAGAAAAATATAAATTTCATGGTATTTATTTGATATAAAGTCACTCTTAAGTCTTTTGAACGTATAATCTAAAAAAAATTTGCTCTAGGAGGGGTCCAAACCCAAAAACCACCCCCGTAGCTACGCCATTTCTTCAACTTGAGAAAACGTTTAAAAGTAATATATATAAAATAATATCATGTGTAGCCCAATCCTAAATCCTTTTTAAAATAGAATTTGAATCAAAGTTGTATAATAGTTAATGTGCTAGGTGGGTATATGTGAAAGTTAATTTTCTGACTGGCCATAAGATACTATTTAAGGATTATATTTTGCAATAAATAATTAATATTAACATCTCATTTTCTCATCAGTCTCAAATTATTGTTCTTTATTACCTGGATGTTAAACATAGTGGCTATTGTTCACCCTAGTTTCAAGTTGAATTGACGCCATATGTTAATCTGACCTGAATCCAATGGGAAAACTTGATAGGCTAATGCAAACATTAAATAATACAATATCGAACTAGGATATCCTAGCCAGATCAAAAACTTTACCTCATATAGATATTTTTTTGAAACAAATAATAATACAATAAAATCCTCTAAACGCATTTTTTAAATCTAAAAATACTCAAATGAATATTTTTGATGATTATATTTAATTTATATTGGATTTAATACTGCATTGCCCACAGCAAAGCTTATACCTTATCGTCCCTGCAAAGTTGGGGATATGAGTATAGACCTGTTATTATTATTGAAATGCAATAAAAAAATATTTATATATATTTGGAATTACAGTCAAAAATATTTTTATAGCTTAAAAAGTAGCAAATAGCGCGCTACATTTTTAAAGAAGTAGCGGTAGCGATAGAGCTCTACTTTTAAAAGTAGCTACGATCTCCATAAATTTATGAAAATTATCGCCACAAACTTTTGCGTATTTTTTAAAAATTTTAAAAAAATCTATGTAAAAATTATATAAATTATGAATATTTAAAAATTTCAATTCCAAATGATTAATTTTCTTTATTCACAAATTATATTTATAGTCAATTTATGATAAACACGAAACACATATCATAATTTACATAAAAATTATAAATTAGTATAATATAAATTTGATTGAAAATTTGTAATAATATTAATAATTTAAGTAAGCGAAAATTTGTGAATTCTTCATCTAAAATGTAGGCTTTGCTTTGGTTGCCACAAATTCGACTTCTGCGCACTCGCGTTTTTGTTTTTGTCATTAATTTTTACTGTCTTTTGTCGCTTGAGATCCAAGTTTAGCGTGAAAGTTATAATTGAAAGCAAAATAGCCTAAGCCATCCTATGCACAGGATGTTCAATCAGGGGGTTTCGGTCATTGAAATTATAAAGCTTATAAAGCTGAGATGATTGCACTTTATTATGTTTAAGGTCAACTCTGACCAGAGTAGTCCCTCTTGGGATCCGCGGTCCTAGCAGAGATCCGATGCCCCAGCTCTTTAAAAGAGATCAGGGCATAAGAGCCGAACGATGTTAAAGTCGTGGCGATTAAGGGTAGGAATGCATAGTTGGCAGGTAGCGATGGCGAATATTTATAAAGTTTATTTGCCCCGATGTCCAGTAGAGCATCCCTATTTATATTGGAAGGGGCAAGAGGATAGATGAATTAGAACTCCCAGGTTAATTCGCCCCTTTTCCAAGGGATCCTAGTAGAACCAGGAGGCAGTTTACCATCGGAATTCTAAAGGTCCGTGGGCTCAAGGCTCTCTAATATAAGCATACTCTATATTTTCAAAAATACATTACCGGTCAATTTAAATTTTTCAAATTATTTCTGAAATTAGGAAATATCGATTTCACATAACTCATCTCAATATGAGACAAATTAAAAATGAATTAATTTCTATCTAGATATAGATCTGACGGTACTGTAAAACGAATTATCGATACCATACAACTTAAATTCTCTTGTTGTGGCAGCGTTAATTATGAAGATTGGTTCAAGATAGGCTGGATGCATACGAAATACCTTAACAAACAAACGTTAGATATAAAAAAGTATGCCAATTTTAATGACACATAGATTGACCATTCATTCATGAAAATGCATTTAAAAGCGTCGTTGAATGCAAATCAGCTGGACCCGCCATTACGGTAACCCATATTGTAATTATCCTTATGTTAAAAACTTTTATTAAATTGATAATTTGCTTCCTTATTATCTAGATGATCAGGCAATTCTTCAATAAAGTTTAGGGTAGATATAGAAATAAATTGGCCTATAGTTTAAAATTTTTAATAATGATATGGGCAAACAAAATGGCGTCGCCAGTTGATTTCATTGGTTTACACTTTTAGTGAATGAATCATCAATCTAGGTATTATATGTCATTGGCTAAGTTTTTCATCAATATATATTAAATTTGGGTTAATATATTTAAAAAAAAAATATTATTTATTACGTAAAATGTTTTTCAATTATTCTCTATCATCAAATTTATAAGTTTTTTTTAAATATAAATTTTATTTTATACTCTATCACCTAACGTAGAAAAGTAATTCGCGGAGATTATATAGCAGATGATGTGCCATTTAGTTGTTGCAAGATAAAGCATTTAGGACCATGTGTTCACTCGAGTTATACAACTCTTAAAAATGACCCTAAAATGTCTTTTAATTCTACCATACATGAAAGGGGATGCTCGGATGCTTTGATTGACAGTTTTGATGAATTGTTAGATATATCAGCATATGCTACTATCTCCACTTCTATTATAGAAGTTATTTTTATGATCAATTCTATATTTGATGTATTTTATTTACCATTCTTTTTTTTATTTATTAATATCAATTATAAAAAAGGGTTCATATTTATAACCTCTTTTTATATTTAAAGATAATCATATTTGTCTTGGCTAGATATTTCGAATCATCTATCAAAAACCTTAGATATTCGGCAGATCCCATAGGTGTGTCTGAAGGTTATATTATGGATAAGGCTCCCTGTCCTTGCTTAGAAAAGGGAGCCACGAATATAGGCCCCTTGAATCAACCTAAAAAGGATATAACTAAAAAGAGTTCAAATATAGCCAATGAAAATTTTGAAGGTATTTGATTTTCAAAAAAATAATATAGATTTTACGTTATGACGATTTTTAAGGATCAAATATATTTTATTAAATATTAAAAGACGTCCTCTATTAATGTTACCGACATAACGTGTAATCAGATAATATGTATAATATTTTATAAAGTTTATAAAATTTGGAGGGTAGAGTTTTTCACATGTTAGAATACATTTCCGGTAAAATCAAATTTTGATTGATTGATTTAAAGTTGGAAAATAACAAAATAATTTGTGAAGCACGTTTTATATTTTTAGATTTTGATTTTTGCTAAATGTGAATCCCACACCACTATGTGTAAAAATAACCCATTCTATAGATTACAGAAAATGGCAATAAATTTTTGGTTTCTTTAAATTTATATACTTAAATTGTATTAAAATTATATTGATTGACCGAAATTTTAAACCGGAAAAAGCTTATTGCTTGATTACGCTCATTGCCGGCGATAACACACACATATATATATAATATTTTCTCTTAATAAAATTGGTTTCAATGGAAGAATCCCAATCAGAAGACGAAGATAGACCCTTGCTTGATAAACAAAATGAAAGTACTAGGAAAGATACCAGAGATCCTAAAACAGATGTCAGGAAAGATGGAGACAAAGCTGGACCAGAGAGAGGAGAGATAAAACAAAAAGATAAAATAATTAATTCTAAATTAACACCAGATGAAGCTACTAGTAATGATAGAAAAGATGGCAATGATAAGGCGCAGTTGCCAAAGAGTGAGGAGATGAAACGTAAAGAGGAAACAACCAAATCTAGATTAAAACCGGAAATTCCTAGTAGTAATGTTAGAAAAGATAAAAGAGATACAAACATGGCAAGATCCAAAAAGGCTGGAGTAAACAAATCGCAAACATCTTCCACTACCTCGAGAGCACAAAAATCGGCAAAATCGAAGCCAGTCAAAAACCCTAAGCAAGCCACAAAATCGAAAAAGAAAAAATAATTTTATGATTATATAACCCTTTATTTAGTATTATATGGTTAATAATAATTCATGATATTTGCGAGAAGGTATGCAATAAATGAAATAATCATTTTTTATTGAAATAATTATTTTTCTTTGAAATAATTATTTTTATTGAAATAATTATTTTTCTTTGAAATTATTATTTTTCTTTGAAATAATTATAAATATTAAAATAAAAATTAAGTATTTCTAAAGTTGCAATCAATTAATCATTTACGAAAATATACTGGATTCATTTACTTGTTAAATTTTTCAAAAAATTAATGTATTTGAGCAATTTGAAAATTTAGTATTAAGAACATAAAGTTAATGCTATATTTTAGAAAATATATAAATGATTGAATTATTCCCCTAAAAAAAATTTAGTGAAAAAAAAGAGAAGAATAGTTAGTATAGTGTTGAATTAAAGTGTATGAATAATTTCAAGAGTTTGAGATGAAAGTGTTCCCTGACAAATGTCTTTGGATTATTTAAAAGTTTCCTACCAAACTTTGATGGATATCAGTTTTTAAAGTATCTCACCAGGTTAAGTTTAAAATGCATCATTTATAATATTTAAATTAGGTTGGGGTGGAAAATAGAGCTGGAAAATTTGTATAATTAAATTTTAAAAAACTTACTTACACTACACCCAAATTAAGATATCAGAAATCTAAATAAATAGATATAAATTAGTAATTAAGATACTTATGTATACTTGAGTAGGCTAAATCCGATAAGTTTAGGGCTCCTCCCCCACAGTACCCTGACTCTGAAGTCACGGACCAATACAAATACACTGCAAGTTCCTGGTTGATCTTCCACTTAGAAATATTTTATAGAAAATCAATCACCAATATGAGTAAGTTTAAAGTAAAGGAGAAGGATGCGAAAACGCTCAGAATATGCTTCTATTAAAAAAATTGTGTAATAGATATTTATCTTTATTAAATTGCTATATGGTGAGCTGATATCTCATGGTCACGGTTAAATTCAATCTAAGTTTTTACTTTTCATACTTGATACCCAAGATTAAAATATGTTTAGTCATACTCCGATTTTAATATCTCCAGCTTCATGATTATTTTAAACTGAACAGGTATTAAAGCATTAAAATTTATAATACATACATGCATTAAAACATATGTAAAAATATTTTATTTTATTCAATGTCCTTTTTGCAAGTTTTATTTTATAATTCTTTATATATTTTTAATAAATAATTGTTAAGTGGCGAAGGTTTAATTTTTTTGATAAAGACATATTGAAAGATCCTGATAAAAACGAAAGTTATGATAAATTAAAAGTAATAATATGGGTTATTTTTATGATTTTTCATTATTAAACAAAGGATATAAATATATCTACATCCACAAGTATTAAGGGATATATTGTATTTGGGGACTATGATGGGTTTTTACATTTCATGACTCAAGATCTCGAAATAAAATCACTAAAGGCACATGATGTTAAAGTTGAACATTTATATAATATGACGAATTCACAAATTTTAATATCTGTTGGGGTAATCATATATTTAAAATTTTACTTATTAGTTTATTAATATTTAAATGTTTGATTATATTGTAGTATGACAATGACAGTCCACAGCCAATCATAAAAATATGGAATTTAACTAAAGGAGTAAACATTTTAGAATTACAAATACATGTATTAAAAATTAAGTTTGATAGGTATGGGAATATACCATATTTAAAAAGTTTTAAAATCACATATGGTAACAAAACCCCAATTGTTAATTGTGTGACTGCTCATGAAAATCTCACGTTATTGATTATTGGACTAAATTCTGGCCAGATTTTGATGTATAAAGGAAATTTAACCAAGGGTGAAAAGTAATAATTTATAGGCATAGAAAATTAACCTACTTATATTTAAATCAAAACTAATAAATCCTAAGATAATAACTTGCATCAGGGTTAGATTAATTTAAAAAAAAATATTTTCTTGAATATAAATGCAAATTCACTTTTAAAAAAAGTTTTTGAATATAAATACAAAAGTATATTTTAAATAAATGCGAAAAAATTTTAAAAGAAGTATTTAGATATAAATCATTATCTAATATCTGTGGTAATATAAACATTATAAATAATATATTTATTTCTGCAGCAGTAGTGTTTCACTAGTGTTGTTAAACAACTTGATTTGCATCGATTTTTAAAAATGATTAACTCAATATTTTATCCAGAAAAATATTACGAAAACCTGAAGATTTTGTTCATAAATGACACAAATGTTTGGAGCTGAACTTTAAGGCCAAGGCAATATTTTTCTGGCTAAAATATTGAGTTAGCCATTTTTAAAAATTGGCTCAAACCATGCCATCTAACAACACTACATAATAATGGATAACATTGTTCTACAGAGCATATAATAAATTGCTGGAGGATGAATCATTGTATTCATGAGTGTAGTTTTCTTCGCAATTGAGCAGATATTACATTTAGCCCTCACTCTATGATTGATTTTTGATGATATTTTGTAAAAATTTCTCCAAAATGATCAAATTACTTAAAGCTAAGAGAATATTGACGTTGTCATATAATCCCAGAAAAAAAATATATCATATAAACATGATATCTTTTATCAAATATTTTTTCCGGCCCGGCTTGAATTATTTCCGAATATCGTGAAATTTTAAATACAATTTATTTTTTATTATTTAAAATACATCTAAAATATTCTAACAAACTAAATACAAAAAAAAAGTATCTGTGTTTTAATCACAGACTCTAATAAATTTAAACACAGTTGTTTAAATTTATTTGTGGTATTCTGTTGTTACTAAACTTATAAAGTATTGCTCATCATCTAATCATCAGCTGACACACATGTATCCCAACCTGCTATGTCATCAGCTATGAAACACTTACTCAATTTTGAAATCCCCTGGAGAATGTAACCTAAGTAATTGACGCCTAAACCTCCCACACCACATGGAAGGTTCTCACGCTTCACCCAGTGGTCTTCATTGAGGAATCCTAGAGCTTCGTATTCTAAAAACCTACCACCTAACCAAAGATACCAAATTGCTCTGCTTGGTTTCATTCCCCCTATGAAAGAAGCCTTCTTTTCTTTCTTTCAAGAGTATTGTATACACAGTACTTACAATCACCCTTAAAATCTCTCTCTATTTCCTCATCTACTATGTTCCAAAATCTGTTAACGGTGTCCCAGTCTATTTCTTTTGACCAACCACCTAGGGCTGCGTCATTTCTCACAATTTCCGAAAGTTTTCCTTATCTAACAATCTACCATGTAATCCTTTTTTGGTATATAAATCAGCGATGAATTCCATAATCTTTTTATTTATCATTTTAATGTATGGCTTATATCTCGGTACACGTTTATCTAGCTTTTCTTGCATGAGTTTTTGCTGCCCTTCAGTCGAAATATCGGTCATATTATATCTATACACGTCATATACTTTTTCCCACGGCTACATCATTTTTTGTAAGACTAAATTAATAGTATGACCTCCACTTGTTCGAGCTTGGGTTGCAAATGAACCTAAGTATTTAAATGTTCTGTAAGGATGTTCCTTATCGAAAAAGAAGGTTGATTTATGCTCTTTTTTGATTAACTCCAACCTTGTCTTATATAAAGTATCATCTTCTAGATTCTCATCACATATCAATCCTTTCTCTCCCTCCATCAAAGTAGGACCTTTCATCTGAATTGGTATCATGGATCTAGATGGTGTTTTGAATCTACTGTTTAGTATTTCCATAACCCTTTGTGTTGTACCCCTGATATTATTCTTAGGACCACTTATAAAGTACATTTCAGCAGATGAATTTCTGCTTACCTCACTTCGGTATAATCCTCCTCCAAAACGATTCTGTATGTTTTCAAGTTTACCTAACATTCCCTGATCGTAAGGAGTTAAATTTTAACACAGAAACCCATATGTGGATTTTTATCTAACCATTTCTCTAAAACTTCCAAGTTCTTTAAACTTCTTCTAACTTCAAGTAGGGTATCTGGATTAGCTTCACCTATATCCTAAAGTAATACCTCACAAGCTTACAGCCAAATGTGGTTACTATATTATTTCCATAGAAGAGACATTAGGCTTGGTGCCTTCGCCATCAATTCAGTAGTCCCTATAAATTGGCTGCCCACAGGAAGGACCTCATGGTCAATACATCAAAAACAGGAATGGATGACTCTAGAAGATATGCTACTTGTCTGGAATCTGGTATGGATAATTGATAATCCATGGATAGAAGATAAACGTACTATTGACTCTTGGGATAAAGTTCCATATCTACCGAAAGATTGGGATGCAAGGTGTGGCAGTTTAATCGGAGACAAAATGCGAAAAAAGTGGGCAGAGGATATACCAAATAAAGTGCAAAAAGTCCGTCAACAAATCGGAGAAAATGAAACGTATAAAGATGCCTTAATCAATATGCGCAGGTATATGGTGAGTAAACCAGCCGTGTGGTGAGATATACATATTTTATAGTATACTTATAATTTTAAATTCTTGTATGAATGGGAAATATGATTAAATATATTATAAAAGCTTCGGCACAAAAAATACAAAAATAAATAAAAAGGCTACGGCCATTAAAATACAAAAATATTACAATATATATATATATATACATATAATTAATAAATAAATCATTTAATAATAATAATATTACGATATTATATTTTTTTAATCAAAAAAAAATATTTTAATAAAAAAGCGATTAACACGTGATCTATAATTACGATAACTATTTTCCTAATAATAAAAATACCATATTATATTTTAAATCGATTAACATGTAATGTATAATTACGATAATTATGTCTTTAATATTACTTGTATCAGTTTTTTCTTAATTTAATCCATCTTCCGAGAGTTTTAGATCCTATTCCATAATTATAAGCAGCTTGGCTTACTGTTAATCTCCAGTAAGAAGGAATTGTTGAAATTGACATTGATTAAGTAAGAAATAGTATTGTTTGCAAAACATCACGATAAATTCCAAAAACTAGTTGGTGCCCTTAATAAAAACGCGTCCTATCTTTCTACGTGTCTTGGCTTTGGCACCAACAATGTTATTATCCAACTTATCTCCTCGCAGATATCGGACAATAACATCCACCATAATTATTTAAGGAAGGAGGATCGGAAATGTAACTATTTTTTCGATTACAAATATAATAAAAATTTAGATACAAAAAACGCAAACGCTTCTACCAACTGGAGGGCAGAGGGGTTATGATCCAAAATCGTCATTGGAATTTAAGGTGTAAAGCATTTTAGGTATTGGATAAAATGGGAGGGGTAAAAAAAATAAATAAAAAGGTGGTATGCCAATTAGGATTCCGTCAGCTGATTTTGGCATAAAGTAATATTCTTATTGGCTAAGGGAGGGGGTAGTGGGGGGGGGGGTAGGGAGGAGGTGTAAACTGTCTGGAATAAAAACTTGCAATTAAACTATGAGAAAAAACTTATTTGTTTAGGGGAAAGGAATAATTTTAATTTTTATTCCCAGAAATTCCTTATCCTCAATTAAGCCCAAATTATTTCACCAAGCCACTAGTCCTATAACCAATCTCGCGCTCTCTTACACTCAAGGTTACCATATCCAGGAATCCTCTAAGAAGGACCCGATGGTGTCCAAGACAAAGTACAATGTTCCTTCCGCGTTTATCCCTATAATCAACAAAATACCGTCTTCCAATAACAATGTAACGGCATCACCTATCGATACATCCGTGATGGACCAATTAAATCGTATTTTATTTTATTATTATTACAAGAAATATCGGAGACCTGCAGAGAGGTACCAGTAGCACTATAAGGCCCGGGTTTCGTATTTTAAAATCCGGCTCGATTCGACCCGTCTTATTTTTTTTAAATCCGGAATATATGTCAATCCGGAATTTTGCGGTTCATTTTTCGGTTAACACGATATCATTTAACAGCTGATAACTATTAAAATATTACCAAAGAAGAACTACATTTGTGTTCGTTTTATTGGGCGAAATGTATTTTATTTTATAGTTATTCTATTTTCTATTTGGACCTGGTGGAGTAAAAAGTGAATAAGGACAAAATTGAAATGATGTTGGTTGGTTTTTTTATTGTAAATTATTTTTCTGATATTTAATGAAAATTTAAATTAATTTATTATATATATAAAAAAATTAACCTGTACGATTTAATAGTCTCGATGATTTCTAAACTTGATTATGGATCAGGGTATTTGGTAGTGGGAACTGTAGGCGGAAATATATTTTTGAGGATGTTTGCAATGCTTAATGGAATTTTGTGTTGCATATTACATTCCTATCGATACTGCTTTTTTGGACATTGATGGTTGGTAGTTGTTGATTAGTTTTTTTTTTGGTGGATGCATTTGGATCAAAGGAATTTTTAATTTGGCGCTAAAGGTTATTTTTTTTCTGATAGGAAATTTTAGGTGAGTGTAGGTGAAGAAAAAACAGTTATTTCCATTTTTCCGAACTTGTGATTTTATTTCTTTTTAAAATAACTTAATTTTAGCCATATCTCAGAGCCGTTCTTTAGACAACAAGACAAGCACTGATTCCGAATCACTCCGTCATCCCTCGTTTCAAATCCCAAACGCGCCTCCGAAGAAACTGGCAAAGGTCTTCAAGACAACCCTCTTCATTTCAACCCTGGATTCCATCATGTGCTTCTCCGTAGAGGATTCGCATTTATCGCTCATATTTTCTTCCAAATATCAAGGTTTATTCCTTTTCCTCTCTTCATTTTTCTTTTCATTAGTTTTCATTTCTTTCCTTTTATTTTTAACTTCACTTCCCTCCCCTATTTCCCAATAAAAAAATATAGAATCCGCCCTGAGCCATTTGGTCAAGCACACCATCTTAGACAGCGTTAAAGGTTGCGATCACGATTGCGCCACTCTTATGCCCATATTCACGTCCAAATCTCCTCGCGCGAGGAAAAGTAATATTTATAGAATTCACATTATTTTACACACGTTGCTTCAACCAATCCATGAAAAGAAAATATCCAATTCCCTATTTTATATTGAAAAATTTTTTAAATTTAAATAGGAACCAATCAAAATAGGGGATTATACCCAAATCATGTCTTAAATTGAAAAAATTTTTTTTTTATCAGTGGATCCGAGATTCGTTGGTATGTTACCATCTATGAACTTCTAATGGCCGCCTTATGACGTAGCGCCACTCGCCTGCCGCCATTTTGAAGTAGAGAACAATATTTTGGCGAAGAATTCGTCATAATGAATCCATATTCATTATGACTTAACACAGATTAACTCTGGACAAAATTCATATTCCGTTCTTCTCTATTTTATAATATATTTTCTTCGTTATTATTTTCAATTCCCAAAAGTCTAAAATAAAATAAATATCTTATCCTTGAAATACGTATAATCAGAAAATGGTATGATTTAAAATGCCATTTGACCCCATACATACAAAGTTATGAAATGGTTGATGCTCAAAACTGAGAAGAATGCGGGATTTATCTGAAATACTATTGGGTGCTTTTTTCTTTCTTAAAATATAACCCCCCTAAAAATATAAACTTGAAATTGTTAATTTATGATATTCTCTCTTCCAACCAAAAACCATCATCAAAGAATTATTGGAATAAATTTAAAAAAAATTTTTTTTTATGCTATGAAGTCTCCAAGCAGCGGTCAATCGCAGTAGCATCAGATGACGTCTTAAAATCTGACGTGCTCGTTTCCTCTTCGCCTAAAGACTCCGTGATCCCGAGACAGCCATCAATCGGCTCAGATCTCTCCAGTGAAAAGTGGAGCGCCAACTTACTTTCGGAACCCCCAAAAAACAAGTTTACGCCATCATTGGACGGAAAAAGTCTAGATTGGAAGGAAGAATTGGGAATCGAAAGGATAGACGGCAACGACGAAAGGCAGGAAGAGACGGAGGAGTTTTTGGTGGTGGCGAGAAATGAGGCCCTCTATTTTTACAATAGCGAATGCTTGGGTCCTTGCCTGGCCTTCGAGAGCCAGAAGCGTTATTACGTCCAATACCTGCCCCGTAGTCGGTATTTGGTTACGGTGGAGAATAAGGGGGACGATTTGGACCGGGGCAAAAAGTTATTTAAATGCTTCTCTTTTTTTTTGTTTAGTAAAGAAGGAAAGCAAGGAAAATTATATACGTATAATATTGATTGATTGACAGCATCGACATCCTGACCGTTTACGACGTGCACAATAAATTCGTCGCGTTTTCCTGCCCCGTTCCCGGATTCGTGGCTATGTACACCGAACCCGTTAAATTGGTCAACATGCCCAGATCTACTTCTTATCTCGTACTCACTCGTAGCCCAGTAAATAATAGTTTATTATTTTATTATTTTTTCTCTCGAGAAATATTGAAAGAAGGAAGAAAAAAAAACGAGAGAAAAGAAATGAATAAATAAAAATAAATGGGAAACGTTAATGATTATTTTTGCGAATAAATGATTCATCACCTGTTCTTTCAATTTTCAAAATAAGGGAAAATTGTATCACAGATACACTGATATCGTTACTTTTTATCTGTAACGGGCAATATTACTCGCGGTATCGACAGTTACTTTCAACTTTGAACCCTATCGTGGGGCCAAAATTTTAATATTTCTTTTATCCCACATTAAAGTAACTAATCATATACAAATTTCTAAATCGATAAAGAAAGGAAGAAAGAAAAGTTGATAATTCCCCCACCCCTTATATTAAAATATTGCCCCCCCCCCTGCCCCAAATTAGAAACTGAAAATGATATTTTTTTCGATCCATTAATGTATCTGCCAATACCGTCTCGATATCGGATTAAAGGATCTTCGAACACCGGAATATGTATGGGAATGATAAGTGCGTAATAAATCGTGTTTTTTTAATTTATAAAATCAGGAAGGTGGTGGATACTCCTTGCTAACTTTGACAGAAAAGAGTCTATCGTACAAGCTGGAAACGTTGTTTCGCAAAAATTTATACAATCTGGCCTTGGGATTGGCTAGGAATTTCACGTCACCCGCTTCTAAAATTGGTAAAACGCGTATTGTTATTTTATATAGTAATATATGTCTTTTAAGAAACCTCTGCGCAATTCTTTCGTTCAATTATATATATTTCTCGTGGAGTTATATAGCTCCCAACTTTTATCATCAGGTTCTACTTAAATTTAGGCGTCGTGCTGAACATGCGCCTTTCCTCCTCAGTGACGTCAGTGTTTAAGTAACATTTACGTACGCTATTAGTATTCGTGCGTTTCTCTCCCTGTCAATATCAATGAACACAATACCATTATTGATCTCGCACATCTCGAGAGAGGGCTTCAAAAATGACGTCATCTTAAGCTGAGGTCATATCGGAAGCGTTTGAGCTTCCGAACGCAATGTTATTGAGAGCTGGCAAGTCAAAAACTGATCGGACAAAATTCTTTTCCAGAAAAATCTGGAATATTTCCAAGTCATGCACTGTATTAAATTTATTTTTACGTTTGCCCCCCCCCCCCCCTTCAAATTTAAACAAAATAATTTTTTTTTATTATAAAAGTTAGTTATAAATTTAATTAAAATTGGTTTAAATTTTTTTAATATAATTTTTATATCTTTATAAAATATTTTATTTGGCCATTTGTTAATTTTCGTGTTTACGCAAAAAAATAGAGGATATTTTTCGAGGTAAGAAATTTCGGTGAGTCCGCCGCTAAGCCGATAGTTTAAAAGCTAAAAAAAAGCTGCTGCTGCCGCCATTTTTTTTATTATCCGTGCATAGGTCTAACTTATATTCAGCCATATATTTCTTCCTCTCATTAAAAAGAATGGAAATATTTAAAATTGATAATGTTAAAAAATAAAATTATATTAAAACACATTTAAATGCAAATTTTTTTTTTTTACTAAGATCATAAGGGCATAGATCCCGTGAATGGATTAGCAGTTAGATCTGCATATTTCTAGAGATATTCTCTCTGCCTAAGATAATTAATTTTCCTTGGGGTCACTTCACAAACTCATTTCTCTTAAATCGATTTTAAGATTTCAGTTTGTGACAGGGACCAATTTTAAAAGAAAAATTGATAATATTATATATTAGCCCCTTGCAAGGGCAGAGATTAAATACGAGAGTTCGGTCCGACTGAATAGCACTTAGAGTTTTTTCCGCTTCGTGTGAGTATTCGTATTTTTTTTAACACCAGGCATTCTCAAACAAAAATATTCTTCAGTGATTAAAAACCCTGAAGATTTTTCGTTTTTGAAGAGCATTTCTAAACTCTGGTTGTAATTCTGAATTTTAGAATTTAAGTAAAAAAAGCAACCTAGAATGCTCATTCGAAATTTCGATGACAAAAATTTTGCTCAAAATTTACAATTTTAAAATCTTTTTGCGATTAAAATCATCAAATAAAATTGTTTAAAAAGCAAATTATCATTTTTTTGCTCAAAATTTTGGGTGAAAATTAAATTTTAAGATCTACTAGAAATATCTTAAGAACTGCAAGAAATTTTTTAAGATCTGCAAGAAATATCTTAAGATCTGCAAGAAATATCTTAAGAACTGCAAGAAATTTTTTAAGACTGTTAGAAAGATCTTAATATCTGCTAGAAAGATCTTAAGAACTGCATGAAATTTTTTAAGATCTGCTAGAAAGATCTTAATATTTGCAAGAAAGATCTTAAGATCTGCTGCAAGAAGAATCTTAAGATCTGCAGGAAGAAAGATCTTAAGATCTGCAAGAAAGATAAAGATCTTATTTGTTAAGCTCTGGTAATTACATTATGTATAGAGCTTTTTAATTACAATTATACATTTTTTCTTCTTCTTCAAATAATGTATTTATAATATTTATACATTATTCGCAAAACGAAAAGCTCAAAATGGCGGCGATGACGGAAACGATAACTACCAAAATAATTCTGTCCTCGCTAATATCTTCAAGCTGTACGGTGACCATTTGTACTCGAAATCCGACTACGAAAACGCCATTAATCAGTACCGGAAAACGTTGACCCTCATAATGAGCGGGCGGAAAGGTATTTTTTTTTAAAAAAAATTATCGGAGTTTAGAAGCGGTACCCGGTGCCCACGAAAACCGGGATATATTTAGGAATTGAATCCCCCTTTTCTCGAAATTTCTAGGAAACGGGAAAACCCGATGTGTCTATATCGGCGATCCTTTAATCGAATCCAGATTCGTTACATTTTAGGTATCGATATCCAATATTTGATACATTTTATATACCCAAGGATTAATTACAAATTTTTTTTCAAATAAATCTTGTTGGCTCACGAAGAATCAAAGGGAAGACTTGCCTTCGATAAGATAGCTAATGAATCGATAAAAGCATCCGTGGATTTTTGTATCCAAAAAACAAGGACAATTTATCAGCTGATGAACAGAATCTCGAACAGGAATTTTAAGTGCGCCTTTCTCGTTCAGCAGCCATTTATAAAGATGTAGAATAAATCCTTTTCAGAGTTTTTCAAGATAATGATGAGAGACTAAACTGAAGCTTCCGGAGGAAGAAGAATGTATTTTATGCCCCCCTTTGTAATTCACTGATCTTTTTGATAACGAAGCTGTTTGTATTCGTTAAATAATGATGCGTCTATCCACTTCCCAGAATATCTTAGTTGTGTGTGCGAGTCATAACCTTAAATTTGGTTTGCCATGCTGCAACATGACAAAAATTTAAATATGAAACGCTAGCCTAGATAAAAAAAAATTTAGCGCGCATTTTATGTAAGAAAGAAAAGAAATAAACGCTTATCCATCATGGCTAAAAAAAAATGTTTAAACTGATAAGGAGTGATGCTTTCTCGATAAGAACTTTGAAAAGTGTTTAATAAAAATATTTTGTAATCTTTTTTTATAGATTTGTTGATGATTAATTATATATTTTTTTTAAAAAATCCAATACTTGGTGGGGGGGGGAGGTGGAATATGAATCTATAATGTTTACGTATTTGTATTGGATACATTTGAGAAAAAATGTATTTGTATCGGAATCGTTACATTTTGGATAATATCGTAAACAAGTCTGGGGTATATTGTTCAAAATGCTCTATAGAACGGAAACCAAAGCCTAGGAGCCCCCTCCTGCTTTGCTTCCAGGTTTTCTAAACTACTAAAATCTGGTAATTGTTTTTTCTTTTCAACGAATAATAATTTCACAAAATACTTTTATTTTATAGAAGCCAAGAACGCTGGCTTCAAGACGTATCTGGAACCGTCCTACGTTATCAGGAAATATTTGAAGGCCTCTCAAATCAAGCTTCTGACCTTTTACCTAGAGGATTATTTGAAGCTCTATTTTACTCACCGCCTAAATCTGACTACGGCTGGAAATGCCAAAGAAGAAGGTTTCTTTAAGAAGAAGCTAAAAAAACATATGACTCGTTTAATTTTTAATTTATAAATCGTTTTTATAAAATTGAAAGAAAGAAAGAAAGAGAAATGAAAATGATTAAATTATCTCGAATAGAAATTATGTATATTTTTTTCAAGAGATCATTTTGGCGCGTTTAATTTTTGTCCGCCATTTTTTCCGAATATTTTAGATAATTGTGGCGAATCCGATGATGTTTGGTGCGAGGATTTAATAGAGCTCCTGATAAATTGTTACGTCAAATCCGGCGAATCCGCGAAATTGGACAAATTCTTGGAATCCTTTCTCACCTTGCACACCAATATAACGTCCGCGTCTAATAGAAGGCCCGCCAAAACCGCCGCCCTTAAAGATGACGGTCATCACCTTGAACGCCAAAATAGCGGGAACAATCGTGATCGCGAAGGTTCCGTGGAAGATCCCGTCAAATCGAAAGCGAACGAAGATAACGAAGTGATAAACGTCATAGTCAGGGTCTTGGGCTCGAGAACGGAGGATGTCTACAGGAAGAGAGCCTCGAACTTGGCTTTGATGTACGGTCTTACCCAGACATACCTCAAGATTGAGGTTATTTAATCTAAATAATTGTATAGTAAAAAAAATATGCTGATTTTTTTTGCTCTTTTATAACCTTAAAAATATACGTAACGGAGTTATTGGTTTAACTATTGTGTTTGTATCCTATCTAATACGTTTTTTTATTAAAAAAAGTATCTGTATATAGATACATCTAGAAAGTATCTTTTAAAACTCTGATATGTAGACTAAATAGGGCCAAAAATTTAGATCCAATACTTTAACCCCCCCCCCTCCTGAAAAGCAACTATTTATAAAAATATTTTTTTAACTTAGATAGAGGATAACAAAAATTATTCGAAGGCTTTAGAATATATCAAGACCGTAACCGAACCCGAAGAAGTTTACCTAGTCATCAAAAATTACGGAAAGCTTTTGCTAGAACAGGATTCCACAGCGACTATAGATATACTGATACGCCTGTGTCGTAATTCCGAAGATACTATTGGTTATAATTTTTTTAATTTTTTTTTGTTTTGTTTCGGGTTTTTGACCATCGATTACACAATGATTATTCTTTCGAATAGGTAAGGCCTCGTCCGTTATAAAGCCCGAAGATTTTCTGTACCTTTTCCTGAACGAAGGGGACGATAAACTGAGTTATTTTTTGGAAAACGTCATTTCTGCCTCCGAAAATTGCGACGCTGTCAATTCGAAAAAGAATTCGGAGGAGATGGTCGATCAGGTGGTCTACAATACCCTGCTGGAACTTTACATGGCAGAATTGCCCCATCAAGTATTTATTTATTTTTTATATTGATCTCTCAGCACGAGAACCCACCCTTTTACAATAACGTTCATCTGAGGTTAGGGGGGAACAAAAACAAATAATCCTAAACTTTTAAAAACTAGAAAAAGTTAAAATTGTGTGTTGAAAGCTTACATTTTTTTGTGACAGATCTAACAACCAATCATAGAAAAGGAAGTAAGAAAGAATGTTGATTGACTGACAATTTCATAAAAACAAACGGACGTTATACAAAATTTACATTTTATTTTTTCTTACATACCTAACTTTTCAATTTTATATTTATTTGTTTTAAAAAAAAAGTTAGATCCTTTACTTGCCAAGAAAAAGCAGCGCCAAATAACCGATATTATTTTTGGCCAACCACCGGCGTACGATATCGATCGTGCTTTAATAGAATGCCAGAAACAGCTGATCACCGCCAGGGCGGCGGCGCTGCATAGAAAGCAAAATGGCCTCCAGGACGATAATAATAACGCCGAATTCTTCGCTCACCTAACCCGATACCTCTGCGAAAATAAATCGGCCTGTAGCGTACCTCCGGGATCTTACAATCAAATGGACGGAAAAAATGTTATCGATAAACACGACGATTGGAAGGAAACATTGAAAAAAGCCCTGCACGTTGACAGGGATAGACAAAGTAAATGTATATTCTAAACTGCCCATGGAGTTTTCGATCTGGCCCCTTAAAAAATATTTTATACGAGTTGTCCGACCCAGCCCCTCATAGTTTTTTTTGTTGGAAGGTAAACAACATAAATTTGCCCAATATTCAGCATTAAAAACATTATTCGAAACTTCGCTCCCCAGGAACCCTAAAAAATAGTTTACGCGATATTTCCGTTTCCGGAAATGGGTTAATCTCTAATACACGCAATGACATATAATAATACATAGACTGGCGATGCAATCGTTAAAAGTATACATCAATGATCAACGAAGACAGCTGGGGACACCATTTTGATTACCCCTATAGTTATTAAAAATTTTAAACTAGAGGCCCATTTATTCCTGTATCAAAGTATTGCCTGATCATCCGAGATAATAAGGGGAAGCAAGTTAACAATTTAAATAGTAGTTTTTTATTAACACGAGAATAATCACCTATATGGGTTACCAAAATGGCGAATCCAGCTGATTTGCATTCAACGACGCCTTTCAAACGCATTATATATGAATGCATCATCAGTCTAGAGGTATTTATTATATGTCATTGAATACGCATCCTTAATACTCAGTTATTCAAAAAATATATTTAAAGATTCGGTGGACATTCCTCTGCAAAATAAACGGGTGGCCAAATCGCTCCAATCGATTCATCATTCCGCCATCGAAGTGCTACGTTTTTTGAACGCGCGTTCCAACGGTAAATTGCAGTTTTCGGCTTTTCAGGTGGATCAAAAAAATAATATATATAATCGTGATATCATATTGTAAAAGTATATATTTTGGCAGCTTTTTTGTGATTAAGGAAGGGAGATCGGGAGAATTATTTAATCCCGTTTATTTTAAAAAATAGAAACAATCTGGGGGATGGTGGGAATATAAATTTATTAATATCGTCGCCTGAGAATTAGTTTATTCTATCTCCATTTTTTGTCCAAAAACGATTTTTTTTTTATTGATATATCGTTTATTTAAGAATATATTAAATTAAAATAATTAAGTATAGCCAGTATTAGATTATTCTATCTCACTATTTCTTCTTTATCGTTAAAATTATATTATTCCATCTACAAAAAAAAATATAATTATATAATCCATTCAGGCATATATGATTATTTAAAAACTCTTTTCAAGTATTACGTAAAGTAAATGGAATTAAGAGTTATTTTAACTGTTTGTACGGATTTATAAAGATCCTAATAGATTCAAAAAATAAAAAAAAATAAATATTTCATTAATTTTTTATCCCATTCCATTAAAATATTAGATTTAAATTTTTAGTCTTGTTCTTGTTTACATTTGTAATCATTAATCATGTTTATTCAATAATATTTTTTGGATTAAGTTGTTTGGTGATAGAAAATAATATTTCTTTTAATAAAAATAAAAATAAAATTTTAGTATTTATTCTAATCTCTCTTTCTTCCTTTCCTTTCCTTTCCTTTCCTTTCCTTTCCTTTCCTTTCCTTTCCTTTCCTTTCCTTTCCTTTCCTTTCCTTTCCTTTCCTTTCCTTTCCTTTCCTTTCCTTTCCTTTCCTTTCCTTTCCTTTCCTTTCCTTTCCTTTCCTTTCCTTTCCTTTCCTTTCCTTTCCTTTCCTTTCCTTTCCTTTCCTTTCCTTTCCTTTCCTTTCCTTTCCTTATTAAATGACGAGGAAACTAGAATTTTTTAAAATTGCGCGTCTTGTAAAGTTGGAAAAAAGTGGAGATAGAATAAAATAATTCTCAGTCGACGATATAATAACCAACTGTGGATGATCTATTAACCATGCAAGGGGGGTTTGGAATTTACCATAATAGATTTATAAGGAGGGACTATTAAATATACACACCCTTAAATTAAAAAAAAATAAAAATTAGGAAAAGCATTTCTATTATTCAATACAGATTAGGAATTTTTAAAAATTGTGTTCTACCTGTAAAGTTGGAAAAAGTAGAGATAGAATAGTATAATTCTCAGGCGACGATATATATATAAAACGATAATGATTTTAATTTTATCTATTTTTTTGTTGATTATAATATTATAAATAGGATTTTATAACCGAACAATTCGAGAGTAATCAAAAAGACATCGATAGGTTGCAAAAGATCATCAAAGAATCCACCGAAAGGATAGAGAGGAACGAGACTATAATACAAGATCTGGCAAATAAGTATAATTTAAATTTCACCACACATCCCGCCTCCTCTTTCCCAATCCTCTTGAACGGTGACGTCATTAGGACAGTGTTTACGCGATAAATAATTTATCGGAGGCAACCTTCCCCCCCCCCCTCCCACCTCTAAAACCTACACCCACCCTACCCTCCTCCTCCAAACTTAGATAGAAATTTTACATATAAAAATATTTTTACTGTTTCCCCTTTTGTTGGTTGGGTCATTCTTCGACTTCCTGTAACGAAAGTAACTATTAATTTTTTTTCATTTATGATTATTTGTTGATATATGATGATAGGAAGATGGCTCGTTTATTAAAAATTACTTAATAGAAAAGTAGGTTTTGGATAATCGATAGTCAATATAAAATTTGACATTTCTATTTAATTTTATTATTAGGTGTAAATAAAAATAAAATGGTCGATTAAATTAAAAAGTTGCTTATTTTAAATATCGCGCAAATTAATATTTTTACATTTAGTCCAATAAAAAAAAAGAACCAATAGCATAAGAGCTCAATAATCCAATTTTTTAAAAAAATAAAGAAAATAAAATTTAAACCTAATAGCATAGCTTAATAATTCCAATTAAATAAAAATTATTGTTAATTTACCCATACAGTTTCTATTATCATTTTTTTTAGGTATAGTGTAGAGTCAGAGAAGAGACGAGAAGAGAAATATAATTAGGGCTATATTTGATATAATTGAGCCTAATGATGAAACACTGTTTCAGAATGTAAATTCTCTTCTCTTCTCTGACAGGCATTTTATTTGTGATTAATATTTTTTTGACTTTTAATACATTATATAAAAATTGTTATTTTTTTTTTAGATTAATTATATTATTAATCAATTTATTTTATTTTATAGTAGATAAAACAGTTTTCGTTTTTCCAGATTTTTACTTTATTTTGTTTATTTTTCGGTTTTATAGTCAAAACAAATCAATTTTATTTTAAATTGTTTCCTATATATATAGTATTTCATAATTATGATAATTTAACTTTCTAATATTATGCAAATAAATTTATTTATTCTTTATTTAATATTTAGAAGAAGAAAAAATATATTTAACTACCCCCCTATTACAACTCGGATAATATTTTATCGATTTTTAAAATTTAATAAATATTTGTCCGAAAGAGGGCGTTAAATATTTATGAATATATTTGGATGTAGAATACATGAGGAAAACCTAAAAATTGAAAGAAAATAATAGATTTCTCTGACATTTAATTTTTGAGTGAGTTTGGAATCCAAAAATAACCACTAACCTGTGGAGGCACATATTGCTGGCGTTATTGATCAGAATCTCTTCATTTTTTTTTCAAAGCTTATATTTACCTGTAAAGCATTATCCCTAAAAAAATATTTTTTTAAAATATTGTGATATTACCTATTGCCGACCCAAACCCGGCCTATGACTATGTACTGCATTGCTAGGTTTATATATCCATTGAAAAAAAATGTTCATTTTTATTGCGATTTGACCTATACACAATGACTAAATACTGCTATTTGTGGAGCTATACATGGAAAAGTTATCATTTTTTTTATTTTATACATACGTGTTATGTCCAAAAATATATTGTGATTTTGATCGATTGCCTAACTCAAAATAGTAATCGAAACCTTCCCAAAGACTAATTATCGCATTGCTGGCTATATCCATGGTAAAAATCTATATTTTTGTTCGGTCAAATTACAAATGCGATAATTATCTATGGATAACGACAGAAATGCGGTTGTTATGAGTCGGTTATCGGTAAATCACAATATTTTTGAAATAAATTTTTTGGGGTAATGTTTTATACACGTAATTATAAGCGACATTATAACAAAAATGGACATCTTTTCGATGGATATCACCAGTAAATGAAGTATTTAGTCATCGGCGCCGGTTTTGGGTCGGTAATCGGTCAATACACAATATTTTTTTTAGGATAATGTTTTATACGTAAATTATGAGCAACGAAAACAAAAATGAAGAAATTCCGTTCAATTAGCGTCAGCAATTTGTGACCTTACAAGTTTGCGATTATTTTTAGATTCTAAACTTACTCAAGAGTTAAATGTCAACGAAACCTATCATTATTTTTTTTTAATTTTCGGGTTTCCACGTATATCTACACAACACACCAATTTTCATATTTGTTTAACGCCCTCTTTTGGAGATATATTTATTAGATTTTAAAATTGAAAAAAAAATAATTTTCGAGTTGTAATAAGCTACTTAAAAAAATTATTAAAAAAACTGCCCAAAAATATTTTATTATATGGTTTAAGAATCTTTATAAATATTCTTCCACTATAAAATAATGGTAATATTCTTCAAATATAAAAATAATGGCGATCTTTTCTCAATAAAAACAAAACTCAAAACAAAAATATGTATTTTTTTTTTAATCGAAGGAAAATATATTCTCATAATTTATATCAAAAAACACATAATGAATTTTTTAGCAAATTAAAATCAAAATAACATTTTATTTATTAAATAAATATCAAACAATAAATATTACAAACTATGACAACTACTAATCCTATTTTTATTTCCCACACATTTTTATAAATAAAAATCGATTTGTATTATTTAATAGATATTTAATCTCTATTTTTGATTTAATAAAAAATCGTTTTAAAAAATATATTTAAAAAAAAAATGTTACCAAAAATCATATCGAAAAAAGGATTATATAATTATGATCTAACTTAGCAATGCATCATTTAGTCTTACCCCGAAAAGAAGCTGATGTGACAGAATTCATGGCATTATTGGGAATTCTCTATTTAACTCAAATTTTTTAAAATCTAACCATCAAAAATAAAAATCAATATTATTAATTTACTTTTGTTGGTGCTAGTGTTGTTAAATGGCATCTTTTTTATCAGAAAATATAATAACTTATGATTTGATTTATATGAATATCTTATATTTAAAAAAAAAACAAATAGGAAATGATATCCACTAGGAAAATTTAAAAGAATATTTCGAAATTTCAAAATAATACAAATTCGAATCGAATAATTTAAAAATTTACTATTCGACGAATATTTTTCGCTATTGGTATTCGTAAAATCGGGATCGAATCGAATTTCGAATAACAAATTATTCGTTCTAGCCACATACCCCACATTAAATTTAATCGATATACTTATAATGTGTGGAAATTTTAATTTAATTTAATTTTTTTATTTTTCCTGCAATTTTTTTCTATATCTGAAAGAGTAGCCGATATTAATATATTGTCAATGTCAACGGGCTAATTTCTTAAGTGGGAGGGGGGAAGAAATTTTTCCTTGTCCACTTCCTCTACTACGCCTTAGCTCTTTCTATTTCATCATTGTTTTCTAAAATTGTTTTTGATACTGATAAATGGGGGGGAATGCCAATTAAATTACATTCGTCCACATTTTTTTCACCAAATGTTGCTATAGGCAACCTTTTCATTTCAATATACGAATGCGCGAATTTTGGACTGTCGATAACAAATATTAACCTGTCAGTTAACCACTCTTTACACGTACATTAAATAAAATTTGTGAGTTTTCTAATTACTCTGTTTTTTGGCGAAGGATGGCTAAATGTAGTTGTTGTTGAACGACCCGATTTGAGCCGAGTTTTAAAAAACCGCTAACCGAATATTTTGAACCGAAATATATTACCCTAAGCCCCGAGATTTCACTAATAAATGTTCCTAACCTTCTTCGTATCATATCAGCTTACGAGAAAAATCTCCAGGTGCCGTTTAACAACACTACAGCTAAAATGCCCCCTAAGGATAACTATTCGTTTATAAAATTTCGGGTAATTTTAAATTAGTCATTTTTTTTCCCCACTAAACAAAAAAAAAAAAACTATGTTATAGGGTGATTTTTTTTTTTTCTAGCAAGAAGGCACTTTAAAAACATTAATATATATTTTTTTTTTCCTATATTGGATTTCTCTGATCAATAAAATGAACTTAGGGTGGAGGTACTGGTGTTGTTAAACGGCTAACTCAATTATTTTAGCCAGAAAAAATATTGCCTTTAGCCCTCGAGAGGTTTCGCTATTAAATGCTTAGACCTTCGAGCCACATCGTGAGCAAAATCTTCAGGTTCGCGGAATGTTTATCTGGATAAAATATTGAGTTAGGTCCTTTTTTTTAAAAAAAAATCAGCTCAAATTGAGCCGTTTAACAACGCTAAGGTACATACTAATCAATGACATATAATAATACCTAGACTGACGATTCATTCATTAAAATGCATTTTTAACCGTCGTTAAAAGCAAATCAGCTGGACCCGCCATTTTGGTAACCTTTATAATAATTATTTTCATGTTAAAAACTAATATTAAATTGATAACTTACTTTCTTATTATCTCGATGATCAGGCGATTCTTTAATAAAGTTTGCATCAGATATAATATAAAATTAGGCTCTCGTTTAAAATTTTAATATTTATTACAGTAACCAAGATGGCGTCCCCAGCTGTTTTTTATTTAATGAATGAATCGTCAGTCTAGGTATTATTATATGTCATTGATACTAATACACGCATTTCGACCAATCTGAGAGAAGGTAGTTCAATTGATTAGAAAAAAAAGTTAAAGGGTGATGGCCATTCGACGAACATGTCCATTTATGCCCCACCTTCGCCGCCATATTTTCAATCAATTATATCCGTCAACGCGATTCAAGTAACTTATGGGCACCTTGTTCAGTGACGTATAATAATACGTAGAGTGACGATGTAATTCATTAAAAGTGTACGTCAACGGAGGAAAAAAAAACAGCTGGGGACGCCATTTTGGTTACCCCTATCATTATTTTAAAAAAAAATTTAAAACGAGAGGGCCAATTTATTCCTATTATCCTGCTGACGCAAACTTTGATTAAAGAAATTGCCCTATCATCGATCAATTTAACACGAGAATAATTTACCATACGAGTTTATACCAAAATGGCGGGTCCAGCTGATTTTCTTTCAACGACGCTTTCAGGTGAATAGGTATCATCGTATGTCATTGACCTCGTTACGGCCGCGCCTATATCGGGAAGACGGGGATTCGACTTCCGATCCGACATTTTTTTTTTTTAAAAAACACGTGCACTATTCAAATTTATAATGTTAAAAAGGCCTCAAATATTCCAAGTCAATAAATGCGGCGCCTGCGCACACGCCATAGACACCCCCGCGGTTTATTTTTTATGCAAGCACGGATTCCACCAGAATTGCTACGACAGCTATTCATCCAACATCGATTTATCTCGCAGTATTTCTTTCGACCTCAAAAGTTTATTCATTTGTTGTTGTTTTTTTTTTGTGTGTGTTGATAAAGTTTATTATATCCCTTTCCCGGGATGCCGGATCGAACTGAGAAACCGAAAGCACCGGTTATAATCATCGAATCTGTACCGGTTTTATAACGGGTTTTTTGAATTTTTTACATTTTTATAAGTATTTTTTTTGAAAATTAGAGGGAATTAAGTGCGATAAATGTGGGTTGGGTAAAGTTTTCTTACTTTAACTTGTTATTTTATTACCGCATGTTTTTATTTTTACAGGTCTGATATTTGTATAAAATATTTTTGGGTTAATTATTGTTTAAAGTGATATTGTTATACGTTGGGGAGGGAGGGGAAGGTTTGTAAGGAAAATTTTTTTTTATTAGCTTAAAAAAGATACTTACGTGAACAGGCAAATTTCCCATCCCCTGGTTACACCTTATGAGTGTCAGCAAAATATTACATATATACAATGATTAATTTTTCAAAAATCCAAAAACAGATAAAAATCCGAAAGAACCGATATAGATTTAAGAACCCGAACAAACCGGTATAAATCCGTTTAAAATTAACCGGAAAACTGAACCGTTGTACCTATCGGTTGGAAACTCCTGATCCTTCTTTAAGTCAAAATTAGTTATCCTTTTTTTTTTGATTTGCAAGTAGTTTTACTAGTGGATTCTTATTATTAATGGAGCGAATGTCTAGTCAATTAGGGAAGATCAGCCATACCTGCTAGAGCGGTCTCCTGTATTCAGATCGAGTTTAGAAACCCAAAGGAATCTGCTTATTTTTCAATCCATCCGATCTAAAGCTGTCCGATTCCAGTCCTGATTGACCTTCGCTACATTTTGAACGCCAATTATAATATAATTATTAAATTTTGTGGAAGGTGGGGGGGGGGGGGGAGGAGAATATGTTATTCTTTAATTTTTTCGGCTTTTCTCTTAATACAAAATAAACATTATAACCCATTTTATATCACTTATTTTACTATTGCTAAAGACGCCAATAACCCATTCGCCTCATCTTCGAATCCCTACGCTACTAACTTCAATAACAATCATTACAAGAATCTTACTAATTTCACCATCAAGGATAACAATGATAATATCTCGACGACCAATAACAACGCCTCGCATAACTTGAGCGTACCTCCCGGGTGCCCAATTTGCGAAAGCTCGGAATCGGATTGGAAGCTTTTCCGCAAGCTCAGCCGTCTCAAGGAAAGCGGCGTGAACGAACGCCAATTGAATCGCAACAAATACGACGAAAATTTTCACCGACAACTCGAAAAGTGTCGACTTTTGAGGGACAAACCGGACGGTTTTAGCCGACCGGCTTCCGATACGAATAATACGAATGCCATAGGGTCTAATATCGGCAAGGATTCCGCGGAATACGCGAACTTCAACGAAACGACTTCCGTTTTCGGACTGCTGTCTAAGTATTTGGGACAAGATTTGTTTGAGAGGGTATAATTCCATACCCATTATATTTATTATTTAAATGAATCTTTTACACGGTGTCATAGTCGATTTAGAGCATGTTTTCGCAACTTTAGCTAAGAATTTCTACATGGAAGGGTGGATAGGAGGGCATATCTTCCTTCGTTTATATCAATATTCCTATACAAAATCTATAGCAAAAAGCTCTTATTTAAAAAATAAAAAACTATATTCATTAAGGAATGTCTAGACTCAACATTTAAGAATTCGCGCCGCCCGAACCGGCCCGTTATTTTGGAAAACGGTTTTAGCGGTTTTAGCTTTAAATAATTTTTTTACGCGGGCCCGCGCCGATTAATCACGATTATACAAATATAGATAAAATAGATTTGTTTTTTTTTTTAAATTAACAAAACCTCTATTTATCAAATAAATCTTAAATTTATTTTTAATTTACTTATAAAAAAATTTCAAGTTTTTAAAAATGTTTTCCCAGCAACCCGAAATTTTTTTAAGAAGTTTTGCCGGCCCGGCACGAATATATATTTAAATATAAATTATTATAATCGCATCAAAATAAAAGATGTATGTTATGTGGCATCTAGTTTCTTCATATTAAATCAAATTTTTTTCGATTTACAAATTCAACGTAGTGAAATCGATAAATTTAGATTAAAAAAAAGCCCGACCCGGCCCGAACCCGCTTTTTTAAAAAATTTTTAGCCCGACCCGGCCCGAACCCGATTTTTTAAAAAAAATTTAGCCCGACCCCGCCCGAACCCGATTTTTTTTAAAAACTTTAGCAGACCCGGCCCGAACCCGATTTTTTTAAAAAATTAAGCCCGACCCGAACCCGATTTTTTTTAAAAATTTTAGCCCGACCCGACCCGAACCCGATTTTTTTAAAAATTTTAGCCCGACCCGGCCCGAACCCGATTTTTTTTATAATTTTTAGCCCGACCCGACCCGAACCCAATTTTTTTAAAAAATTTTAGCCCGACCCGGCCCGAACCCGATTTTTTAAAAAAATTTTAGCCCGACCCGGCCCGAATTCGATTTTTTTTAAAAAATTTAGCCGACCCGATGCCCATACGGACCGGAAATGTCTAAAGGGGATAACGAACCCCCTCCCCCTCCCCACATTTTTAGTTAAGTTTTCAAATAATTTTTTAAAAAAAAATAAATTATTTTAGGTCGAATTAGTGACCGATGACGATATACCCGTGCCAACTGTAGACAAAAACCGGATAGACGGCGGTAATAAACGTTTGTCATCCGGTCCTAGCTCGAAAAGTCGAATACACTATAATCCATTCCCGATCGATTAACTTATCGATAAAAGTATTCCTCGATGATCATCACTCAGTGGTTCGGTTCCCCGTTTATGCAAAAATAATCTTTAAAAAAAAATTGATTTATTTATTTATTTATTTTGTTTATTTTTGTTTTGTTTTTGGGGAAATTTAGAAAACAACAACCTTTGTATTTAAGGTATTTTTTAGGAAAAAGAAAAAATGTTTTCGTTTTATATCGCTTTTAAAATTATAGATTAAATTATTCCGTTCCGATTATAAAAAAAATTTTATAAAAGACAAGTTTAAAATTTTTATATATTATTATTATTATTATTATTATGTATTATTTATAAATAAATAAAAAATGTAACATAATTCTAAACAGGCACGTGACCAGGGGGGTGGACTGAAATTTCTCTTCCCCCCCCATTCCATCGCAAATTTGTTTTGTTCTCATAAATATTATTTCAAGTTAATAAATATTCCCCAGATAAACTAAAACTAAGAGGTAAAAAAGAAAAGTTGATAACTATTATAAAAAAAAAGAAAAGGTAAAAACTCGATTATTTATATAAAAGTGGACCTACATACCCCCCAATAAAACATATGGTGTAGACCTACATACCCCCTCCCCCCGAATACAATTTATGGTGGAATAACCCCGCCTAATAGGGCCACCTTCTGTAGGAGTTCTGGATACCCCTTATATGATCCTACAAAGTTTAGCCTTTTGACCTTAACCCTAAAAGTCAAAAAGAAAAACCATTCTTGTCTTACACCCGTCATTTATTTTTAGTACGTTTGTTTTTTAAAAAAAAAGGAATTAGCTCCTAAGAAAATTGCTAATACTTTATTTCCTGATCGTACTTTTAATAAAAATGGGATCAACTTCATTCACGTGACCACCCTCCCCCCCCCTCCCTCTCCCCACACACCCTTGTTCGTCGAAAGTGTGATAATGATATAAAGTGGGAACGGTTCCATTGATTACACCTCCATCTTATTCAATCTGATCTGTTTTGATAATTTAAATTATTATTTCAAAAACATAAACGTTTTAATTTGAGAGATTACAGAATGTAATCAGCTGTTAACCTGTAAACAAGTTATTATTCGCTAAAGCCTGTACCGAATCTCTGAAAGGATTCAGTGAACCAGGTTTGAACCTTTGGGATATCTTAACCGTTTTAAAGATTTGATTGGCCCGTTCAATATCGGTCGCCATTTTTTAGAATAAGTATTTTATACTGTCTTAATTATTATATTATAAAAAAAATAGATTCTGACCTGCTTTTTTTAAAAGAATTATAACATCTTCCTAGCATCTAAAACCGTTATTTTAATGAGAATCCTAACCTAACCCTAGAAATAATATTCTTTTAGCCGCCTGAGATCCCTGCCTTCTAATGACTTTCCCTATTCGAAAACACTTATAATTGTCATAACTCATAGAATAAGGGAAGCCATTTCTTTAAAAAATCGGGATTTTTTCCTCACTCCAAACTATTATCTTTTCCCCTATTTCCACGGAGTTTTGGATCGGACAAGACCTTAGTTAGATCTTTTTCCCAGGACAACAATCAAACACCAAACTCCTGTATGTGCATATATCTGCCGACTTCGATGTCCATTTTCCCCCCAAAAAATTAGACATATTTTCTTTCGACTAATTTTAACTCATAAATATTGTTAACAATGTTTAATTATGGCCCTCTTCTTTTCTATGGAATCTAAAATCGTTTATCCTTCTTAGGGCCTCAGCGACTCTCCTGTTCATCTCCAGAAATTACTATCATGTATAGCAATAGTATATGAGCCGTCTTCAAACTGACCAACGCCAGATTTTTACCCGGGATCTTTTTATTTGGTTTCTTATACTACATCCGTTCTGGATCTTCCCACTCTAAGCCCCCCCCTTACACTTTTACTTATTTACAACTACCCTTCATGATCGCTCCTTACAGTCACAGTATTATCACGTGCTAGCATAGTTTTTCTTAGGCTGTATTTATCAGATAATTTGTAATCTCTAAAAAATAAGGGACACAAACTAGATATTCCTATATGAACCCTCCTTATTTCATAAGCTCGGTTAGACTAATCCCGATGACCTATAATAATACCTAGACTGACGATGCATTAGAAAGCGTCATTGAATACAAATCAGCTGGAGCCGCCATTTATGGTATCCTTATCATCTTCAATGATCAGGCGATTCTTTTATAAAGTTTGCGTAAAGCTTTAGGAATAAATTGGCCTCTCGTTTAAAAATTTTCAATAATGATATACGGGTAATCAAAAATGGCGTCACCAGCTGTTTTTATTGATGTGCACTTTTAATGAACGCATCTTCGGTCTAGGTATTATTATTGTATGTTATTGATTAATCCCTATTTTTTTTAATTCTTGCCTTTTGGCACTGGCTGATAAGATTGGTTATTAATTAAACTTCTTCTTTTCCCGCCAATTTTCAAAAAGGACTTATCCAGGTCTCAAACTAAAACTATTGGTTCAATTTTTTCACTCGAGAGATCTGTCGCTGGAGGAGAGAGCGATATGACGCGAGATAACCATTGAAATGTAATTAGGGTAAATCAAAGAGGGGGAAAGGGGTTACAGGGTTATCTTATGGATTTCAGCTGTAAGATGGTAAATGACGGGGTGTGGCAGCGCATGCGCGTTCTAGCTAAATATTATTAATTAATCGTATGATACACTATGGATAATTACATTTTTGTTTATTACGAATTTGATAAAGAATAATATTAAAGGTGTATAAACTTGATTTATTTTTAAAAAAATCATATATATATAATTAAGAAATATATTTATATTTTTAATAAAAAAAATTAAATTATAAATATGAATAAATTGTGTAAAAGGTCTTGTTTGAACATTTGTAAATCGGTATAATATAAAAAAAAATTTTATTAATGAAAGGCAAGAGTTAAAAAAAATATATAGCATTTACAGAGAAACCGATTTTAACAAAATATATAATTCTAATATTAATATTATAATGACGTCACAATTGGGATGATGGAATGCCATGTGTATTCAGAATTCCTCCATTTTAAATTTTAAAAATATGATTTTAACCGGAAATGTATACAATTTTGCCGCGAACTCTTAAAGGACTTTTTTAAATTTATTTAAAATAAAGAATAATAAAAAAAAATTGCAGTTATGCTGAATTACATTTCTGGTCACATCAGATTTTTTTTTAGCAAATTTTAATGGCCCCTCAGTAAAATGATTTAAAAAATTTTTTTATTTATTAGTTGAGAATATCCCAATAAGACATATATATAAGATGGAATAGATTTGAACAATATTTAGTAGTTTGTAGTCACGTGTTCTTTCATTGGTCATTAATAAGGTATATATTCCGAAGAATCCAGAACTCCATCTTCTGTCAATTTTTTTATAAATAAATTTTTTAATTAAAATTTTAAATATGGAAAAAAATAAAATATTTTGAATACTCTTCTCTTCTTTCTTTCTTTCTTTCTTTCTTTCTTTCTTTCTTTCTTTCTTTCTTTCTTTCTTTCTTTCTTTCTTTCTTTCTTTCTTTAAGCGAAAGAGGGTTCAGTTTTAATGATCGAGAGAAATGAATAGTGAGCGATAATATAAGAATAAGCAAATCTAGAAGATATCTGTAATAGTAAGGGGAGCATTCACGAAAGGTCCTAGTATCCAGTATTTCTTAAAAGGCTAACTCAATATTTTATCCAGAGAAATGCTTTAAGCATGTTCTTTAGAAGGCACAAAGGTGTATATATTTTAATAAAAAATTTTAAGTTTTGGTCAATTTTTTTAGAAAGTATCAAGTTACCCGTTTTTAAAAAAGCAATTTAACAACACTACTAGTATCAATTAAACACTATATTTGGACGTTCGCAAACCTAAATTAGAAAATAAATTAGATAAAAAAATAAAAATATACATTTTAAAAATTAAAATATTTATTTTTTATTTGTATAAATCTCTTGTAATTTAAAAGTTATGTAATTTTTTTTTTATTAAACGTGATTTCCATTTTCAAACACATGGTTATCATATTTTTTTTTCGATTATTTCTTATGTAAAAATATAAAAAAAAAGACATTTTTTATTGGAAACTATGAACTAGTAAAGAAGCGATACAATAATAGTATCGAAACGCTCGATATTTAGATCCATTTCTTGGTTAAAATATTCACTATAATTTTAACAAACCGTTACTATCCAGGACACTGAATAAGGCTAATCTTTTCGGAATTGGAACGCTCTTCGACATATCAGTCTTTAGGAATTCCATCAGTGTTATATATTTGCCTCCCATTTGTCCCTCTTTCGGTTTCTTATAAACGCCGATTGGTTTCCACGAGGAAGGTATCTTAAATCCTTGAGCCGACGACCCTGGACGAATATTTGAAAGTGAGTAACCAGATATTTCGTCGTAGTCAGAACTTCTAGAAATTCCGGGAACGCTAGGGTTCTTGAAAAATTTAAGCTGCCTTAGGGCCTGTTCTGGATCTACACGGCGGCCTAAACGGGGCAAGACCTTATCCATATTCACGAAGAATTGCCCGTGGGATACCTCAAGGTTGGATAACATTATGAGCGTAGCTACCAAGAATAGAGCTTGATAAAAAATTATATAAATTAAATGAATTTCTATTGTGCTATTTATTTTGATTCATTTAGAAGAAAGTATTTGTTTTTAGGAGTGTTTGTCCTCACAAAAAGTGAACGGCTAACCGAAACCGAACTTGAAAACCGGTAAAAATATATCGCCTGAACCGAACCGCTAAATTTCCTGTGAACCGGTTTTGAACCCCCTTTGGGAGTTTTAATTAATTTCAAAGATGATTCGATAACCAGTTCTGAGTGACAAAATCACTAATTAATTTTGAGTATTCCTATTTTGACGGTGCCAGCAGCTACGCAAGTTAGTATACAGAAGCTTTCTCAGTCATAAAGTTTATTATTCCACCTTAAGATTAATTTTTTATTCCTTTTTCTTTACAATAATTCTAAATAAAGTTTGTATGTGAAAAAAAAAGAAGTTTTAACCGGGAGTTTAAAAGGGTTTCAAAACAGAAACCGATATTATTAATTTTTTTTAAACCGAACCTGCACTCTTGAACCGTTATTTTCCATCTCAACCTAATTTCGAATTTTAGTAGCGAAGTCGGACCCGTAAATCTCTAGCCCCCCCCCCCCTTTTCATGGAAAGAATCATAAGCTTAGGATGGAAAATCCTATGAGGTTGGGTTGGGAAATAGGGTTTTCAGGATTTCAATCAGCAGCATTTATCAAACCGTAATTACGGCCCTGTGTGCTGAAGTACGTGATGACGTTAACTATTAAATGTAGAATAATAAAAGCATTTAAGAAGAGTTAAAATTTTATAGGTCCTAGGAGACTAAGAGAGACATCTTAGAGAATTTGAAGAGAAATAATCTTCTTTAATAACGAATGCCTCGAATATTAGAAATATCACAGTATTTTCAATAATACTGGGTTTATTTTTTAATAAAGAAACAAGAATTTCGAGTAAACTTCTACATAATAATCGATCCTTGGAGAAATAGAAGGGTTTTTAATAAAATGTTTGAGAAAAATTTGGATAATGTGCCTGGAAAAATTAATAATTTCTAGGGAACTACAGTTAAAATTCTCACGAATGTGCCTGGAAAAATTACAGTTAAAATTCTCCAGAATGTGCATGGAAAAATTAATAATTTCTAGGGAACTACAGTTAAAATTCTCCCGAATGTGCCTGGAAAAATTAATAATTTCTAGGGAACTACAGTTAAAATTCTCCCGAATGTGCATGGAAAAATTAATAATTTCTAGGGAACTACAAGTTAAAATTCTCCCGATTCTTAGTTTGAAAGAATCTGGTACCCCTGGTTTTACCGTAATTACTTTTAATTATAATCGTATCATTTACGCATTATAAATACTAATACTCCGTAAGATATGTATTCTTACCATTCTTACGTTCAGAGAAAATTTGTGGAGATTCGATCATAATTATTATAATAATGGCAATGTTTTGTAAAAAAAAACTTTTATACTGTACCCAATCCATCCGGGCAAAAACACTGAATTCGTAGTTAGAGCGAATTGGAGACGAGGTATACAAAAATAATCTGTAATTTTGTATCTCCCATCCCGCATCGAATTCGCGCCTAAATGTAAATTCGGGGTAGCGCGTTGTGTTTAAAATGGTGTAAAATAATTGCTAACCCTCCCACTAGCCAATGACTATATTATAAATTAAAATTTAACACTCCCCCCCCCCACTCCCATCCCATCTTATCCGAATCTGATTCCTCCTTCAATTTCAATCACGATCACGTGTCACACCACTTCCACTCCCCGCAAAAATCCTAAGGTTCAAAACTTGTCGCCATTTTTTTATCGCTCAAATAACTTGCGTATCCAAATTTTTTGCAGTTCATTCTTCTTCTTTTTTTTAAACCTATATATATGCAAATGACCTGTAATAATACCTAGAATGACGATGCATTCATTAAAAGTGTAACATCAAATGAAAAACAGCTGTGGACGCCATTTTGGTTACCCTTATCATTATTAAAAAAATTTTAAAAACGAGAGGCCAATTTAATTCCTAAAGTTTGACGCGAACTTTATTAAAGAAGAAAATTATCAATTTAAATAGCAGTTTTAATCATGAAAATAATTTCTATATGTGGGTTACCAAAATGGCGGGTCCAGCTGATTTGCATTTCAACGACGCTTTTCAAGTGCATCGATTATGAATGCATCGTCATTGTATGTATGTGACTAAAATAAATAAAAATTAGATGTTTTGTTCTAGTAACATTATTTTAATTCGACCGCGTTTTATATATTATTTATAATTTTTCATATAAAAAAAAATAATAACAGGCGTTTTAATTTAAACGTAACGCGAAGAAGCGAACCCCTACGCGAAAAAAAAGAAGGTTAAAATAAAATGAATAAGATGGTTTCTCTCTCACTTTTCGAATAAATTAATAGGATAAATTCGGAATTATACATTTTTTCGTTCTCCTTAAATTATGATTGGTCCATTTCGAATCGCGATTTCATTGGCTGTTTTGATCAATTTTTTTTTTAAAAAAATATACCCACTAAAATTGTAAAAATTAAATATTTTTTTGAAACACAAAATAAAAAAATTGTCTGCGTTGAGAGAAATAACGGCCGCCGGAAGGAAGATTTTTTTTTGTAAAAAGGCACTTCTTTGCAAATAAAATAATTATAAAAAAAAAAATAATATATTAAATAATTTCTTCCAATTAAAATAATTGATTTCGGGTATTTCACAAATCAATAATATTTATTAATTCCTTTCATTCCTAATTCCTCCCCCCCCCATCCACCCATCCATTCCTTATTTAGTGGCGCCATTTTTTTTTTAAATTTAAAAAATATAATAAATAAAGTTTTTTTTTAGTAGGTAGATAAAATGGGAAGATATAAAAATGTAGAAATTTGTTATTTTATACGAATCGACTAAAATAAATTTAATTAGATATATATATAGTTACGAAAACTCCTCCGAAGGAATTCGCGCCGAAAGTGGCGCGGTTCGGGTTTACAGCTGATTTCCAAAGACACCGTTTGGACCTACAATATAAAAATCGAACCTGACCGGCCCAAGACCTATTATTATTTTTTTTTGGTCTCGATTTTAAATACCAAATATACAATAAGATAGAATTAATTTGTGAGGGAAATAATAAATATAAAGATTTAATAATATTATCATCAATAAAGATTCGATTGAAAAAGAGTTTTCCTCCGAATGTTTTCCACTTTTTTTCTCTTTTTTTTTAAAAAACCAACGAGTACACGTGATAGATACCACCATTTTGCTCGATAATCCATTTCCCTTTTTTATATCCTTTCAAAAGCCCACTTTAAACAAGCTTGATGAGCCCAGCTGGTTATTTTTATTATTATTTGTACTAGCATATGAGTCAGCTATAGCGCCATTTTGTGGATTTTGGACGTCATCTGATATGCAGGGGAGTAGCCTAAATTTATCCACGAGGAAAGGGGGGTTAGGAAATTTTAGGAAAATATGGAATGTTCTAGGTTTTAAAATGTCGGGTCAAAACGATATTGGGGGAGCGGGCTTTAATGGCGAAATTTTTATTTTTTGTTGAAAAAACCGGATTTAAAAATGTCACGGATCAGGTGACATAACACCTAAGTACCAGGGGGTTGGGCTGCGACATTAGGGTCTGTCGGAAAATTTTTCCTTAGGACCCACGGTATCTTTGTTACCTCATTCATATCTGATATTATATTTACTCTTGGTCTGGCGCGTGACTGTGAACTGTGGTATTTCTTACCCTGTGAGGTTTATGGGAACCATATTGGATGGAGAGTATGTCAAACCCGATTGCCGCCAGATATTTTCAACGCCATGTATCTGTTTAGGACACTGGATTTATAGGAACGCGATATCGACGCTCACTACATCTTACATCCACAATAAAGAAGAGAGAAGAAATAAAAACCATCAAATTTATCTTTAAACCTTTTCTGGTTATATGACAAATATAGCTATCCTAAAAGTAAAACTCTACCTAAATTCTGAAATCAAAAGAAAAATAACATATTGGAGATGATCTGGGACTGATCTTAAAATAATCTCAAATCCCAGATTTTCTCGGAATCCATTTTCCCCGAGGAATTTGAAGTTTTAAAAATTTTGGAATCAAAATTAAAAAAAAACTATTCTGAAATTCCTGCTTACATAAAAAGGTAGATTTTAAGAATTACCATTTTGATGAGAAATTATTATAAAAAATTTTTTTTTAAGAATATCCAATATTTTAGAAAAATTATACCAGCTTTCACTAGGCTGTGTCCAAAATATGAAAAAGATTTTAAATTTCACAAATTTTCGAAATTTTAATAAAAAATAAATAAATAAGCTATTTTAAATATAAAAATAAAAATCATGTCCAAAACATAATTTCTAAGAAAATTTTTATAAATTTCAAAAAAAAATAATTTGAGTTATTAATTTTTATAAAATGGGTTTTGGACTACAGCAGGAAATAAAGGTTTAGTAAATTTTCCCAATAAAAACATATGGTTAAGGCATAACTCATTAACCCGGTTTTGAAAACCGAACCTCAAAAACCGAAATAAATTTCAGAACCGTAACCGAACCACATAAAATATTTTGAGATGTCAACTGGTTCAAAACGGGTTTCGAATGAAGGCAATATGCTTATGTAATGCTACAGAGATCAAAGGTAGAAGACGGAATTTAAATTGACATTTTTTTTTCTCTTCAACTTTATCCAAAGGTGGTGATGCGAAAATTTCTATTTATGATTGGCGGTGACTTGATGGACATGTTGGAGAACATATAGAAGATATGGAATTAATGGCCGGGCTTCTTCTTATCTTTATTTTTCATCATCACGTTCAATTTTTTTAAAAAAAAACAAATCATATAGGTCACACAATAACTAACAAACTTTTTAAAAGTTATCTTAGAAAAACCTAAGGATTTTCTCATAATGAACAAATAAAAAAAATTATTTGAACGGGAAAAATTCCTTTAAAAACCTATGCTGATGAAAAAAAAAATATCTTTGTTT